CAAGAGAGTTGTTTTTCAATGCACATAGTCATCAAAAAAAGCATTCATGCTTTCACTTCTTTGATTCGTTCACATCCCTGCTCAAAAGGTATCTTTCACATGCACAGGTATCCATTTACAACGTTCATCATACAAAGATTCCAGCCATTCATTACCTTGTCAACCAAATGCATCAATCATTCGTAGCCAATTCACTTCACATTCATTGCTTGTGAGTGAATTATAAACAACATTCTTCAATCTTTTTTTAATCATCTTGTATTGAGTATGCCTGCCAAATTTTTCTGGGATTTTTTTCATAATATGCCAAAGACAAAAACGATGACGAGAATTAGGAAATACCTCTTCAATTGCAATTTTCATGGCTCCACATTGGTCTGTTATTATAGCTTTTGGTGCACGTCCCGACATGCATGCAAACCAGGTCCAGAACAACCATACGAAGCTTTTTGAATCTTCTTTTGATAAAAGTCCACATCCGAGCAAAACTGATTGACCATGATGATTGACACCAACAAATGGCGCAAATGGCATATCATATTTATTGGTCAAATAAGATGTATCAAATGTAATCACAGCAGAGAAATATTAATAGGTAGCCTGGCATCTTGCATCTGCCCAAGATACATTTCTTATCCTAGATTCCCCATCCAAATCAAACATATGGAAAAAATTTGAGTTTCGACTTTGCATGAGACAAAAATAATTATTTAAAGCTTCAGCATCCCCAACACCTAATCTTAACCTTCTAGCTTGATAGACATAATTTCTACACTTCCTTTCATCAAAAGGCAAATTCTCATAGCCGTGAGCATCCACGACAAGTGAATGAAAACTCTTTGCTAACGATATTCCAGCTTCATCATTCACCTCCAGCTTTCTTTTGGAAGAAGGATCCAAAACTTTATTACATTTAAAATGACGCCACTTTCCAGGGCTTAAACTATGATTGTGATCAAGTTTAACACTAGTTATCACAAACATTCCATTTCGTATACCAATATTGATTTTGGCTTTACAATTTGTTTTGGTGGTAGGTCGAGGATGTAAAGAGTTTTTCGCTTGAGATACTGTTTTCCCACTTTTAGCACACCCAACAGAGAAATACTTTCTCTTCCCATCGTCATCATTTCTTGTACCTAATTTTGTAACACCAAAACCAGCACTTTGAGCATAGCTCTATAAAATTCAAGAACTTCATCTTCCGATGAAACGGACATTCCAACTAGAGGAACGTTAGTTTGATTTAAACTTGAGCACCCTTTGTCCACGAACTCATTGCTAATTTCTACTTCATTTTGAGTTATTTTCATCTTGTTCCATAGGAATCAATTTGACCTGTATAAAGGAACCAATACATATAACATTATTGTACAAACATTTAAGTTAAAGATAAGCTCTCATGCAAATCTTTTTATTATTTGCTCCATCCCAAAACAATTGTCATATTTGGATTTTTACTCTTAGGATTAAGAGTGAAAACCCAAACATAATAATTATTTTGGGACGGAGAAATTCTTTGAATACCAAAAAACAGAGTAGAATTCCACTAGCAATCAAAACCATTTGAAAGGTCGATTAGTAGTACATCGCAATGCAATCTAGTACACACACCAACGCCATACTAACAGAATTAATCACTATCATGCAAAAAAATATAAAGGCATAAGACAATAGGCTAATTCGTGAGACAAGAAAACATCAAATGCAACTCTCTTTTTTTCCCACAAAAAAAAATAAAAAAAATCAGCTAATCTGAAATGACTATACAACGCCTTACTGTGTGGCTTTAAAATATTGACCAAAAATTAAAATTCCCTAAAAACCCTGAAGAGTTCATGTCGAACAGAGCTTCAAAGGAAAATTCCGAGAAGACCCATCATCCTTTGGGCCGAAACTAAGAGAAGACTTAAACTAATCGTAATACTAAACATTCCAGTAATGAAAATGAACACAAAATTTAATATGCTTTTGCATGAAAGAAGAAAAATGAAGCATTTCGGATGAATCACAAGAATTTGAATGAAGAAAGGCATAAATTACTTGCAGAGCAACGTAAATCACATCGACTGTTTTTGGGAAATCACCAGTAGAATTTTGGATGGATGGTAGATGAAATTTTTTTTCGTTGATTGCAAGTGTTTGGATGGATTCAGAGGATAGAAGAATAGCTTGATTGTAAAAAGTAAAAATTAGATTAGGAGAGAAATGGGGAATGATTAATCATTTTTTCAATTATTTTATTGGGTGGGGTACAAACAGCCAGGTTTTGGACGCATCCACGTGAGTTGTGGCTGCTTTTCGTTAATACTCTTCCTTGAGTCTATCATTTTTCTTAAGAAAAACCCTATCGTATTTCTCCTAGACATAGGATCCGACATTCTCAACATGACCTGGGTCTGCGACCTTGCCGTAGTTTGGCTTCTGCTTATGGAAAGAGAGATGATAGAGCTGATACATGAAATTATGTGCATTCTTTGTAGATAAGATTGAACATTAAAACTTGATGATCGTGAACATTGTTGGAACTAAGAGCAGGATGGAGTTTATAAATATAGAAAGATAATTTTACAATATTTTACAAGTAGTTCTGGAGACGAGCTAAATATAAAATTTTATCCAAAATTTCGCATGTTTCTACTAATTATAAAAATTGGAGGGAGCATGCATGGCCACTCTTTTTTGACGTCCCAAACTCTTTCACATGACAAAAATTGTTCATGATCATTACCGGAGGAGCTACGAATATCAGGATTAGGGTGAGAAATTTACGAAGATACTTGCTCCGTCTTGAAATTATTCTCCAATTTAAATTTTTATTTTTAGTTCAAAGTACTAAAAGTGAAATTTCGAAGTGGACAATAATTTTAGAACAGGGAAAGTGAGTGTTAAAATGACAGTATTCTGGAAGCAGATATGATGAAAATGGAGCAAATTTTAATTTCTTAAGAGTATTTAAAATACAGTAATGATTATGAAAAGGAGATGGCACTGCGCTTGCTTGTCCTTATTTTATTTTATTTTTTTGATAAATGCTTGTCCTTACTAATTCCATCACTAGACATGAAATGATTTGGATATCAAACTTTCGAAAAATGTCAGGCTTGATATGATAATCGGTGATTAGTATTGCTAACTTGCTAGGTACATTGATCAAGCTCAATAAAGCTTATTCTTCTCAAAATTGGATATATATATATATATATATATATATATAGACACACAAATCGACTAACATGTCCTAATCTTCTTATATCCCAAAATGACTGTTGCAAAATGGTGTAAAAAATGAGAAAATTGTTTTTGGCAAGAAAAAGTACAAATTAAAATGTTAACTAGATCAGAATCACACTGAAAAGCTCAATTGATAAACAATAAATTGATCCCAGTTTGAATAATTAAGCAGGTAGATCAGCTAGAAAATAGTTTTTGTGACAAAAATTTCCAACACAACATTAATTTTCCCCTTTTCTTCTCCATGTTCTTGTGCAAAGTAATTGGCCCAACTAGTTGCCCCCCCCCCCCCTCCCCCCCTCCACTCTCTATGTTAGTTTCTTTCAGTTTTTCCTTGTGATTTTTGAGTTCATTGCTTTAGTTGTTTTTTATATATGAAGAAAAAAACTTCAAAATTTTTATCATTGCTCGAAATGGTTAGGTTCTAAAGTCATCAGAGTGACACAAAAGAAAATTAAAGCATAGACATTGTGCAACGGGATGAAAATTTTGCGTGACATTTATGAGAACAAAGTGCCGCATTTCCTCAACCAATCTGTTTGAAAAAAAAGTGAATTCATGCCCTTTCCAGACACATAAATATTCATATGGTATTGGGTAACTATAGAACAGTTTTAAAAAAACGTTTCAATTTCAGAGGAAAAAAGAAAGAAAGAAGAAGCATAATTTAAACTCCAAATACCTCAAGAATCCAGTGACAATCTGGCCATTGATGATGAATGTGTGCAATGTGGTTACTACTTAAGGTACTAGGGTCGTTAGGATGCTAATCCGTGACGAGTACAGATTTTTTAGATTGAGAAAGATAATTATAAATCTTGTTGTTACTAGTTACCTATGATCCAATCACAGTCATTTGAGCCTAATGCTGATAATTTATCGGGTTGAATTCAAATTGTTTTGGTATAATTGATTTGTTTGAGATCAAATCGTACATTTTGATTTGGATACATCCAAGAAAAATATGTGTATGCATGCATACATGGAGAACGTACGTACCACTAAATTATCAAACTACATGTTGTAAATATACATATCTACCTAAAAAATTAATTCCATATGGCAATATTCAGAACCATCTTACGTCAAAGTAGTAGTTCTGTACATTTTACGTCGTTCGAATCTTAAATTAATCAGCAATAACTTAATCATATAATATGAAAAAAGAGATGAGCCAATTGTGTACGAACCTTAATCGTCCACAAATCACGATGGACACACCTTCATTTAATTTTTTTTTTTTTTTTAAATATTGGTTATCAACTAGATTTTTTGCCAACACAGAATACCCAGAAGAACGCACAATTGTCCTAATTTGCCATCCTAGTCATTCTTTGATATTTTTATTTTCCAGTTTCCTTTTCAGAGATTAAACATTCTTGGAAATTATATTTATGTTTTGACTTGAACTTTGACCAAAATAAAAACTTTCACCTGCATCGTTTTGAAAGTTTGACTCTGATTAATAATCTTTGATTGGTCAACAAGAAAAATGAAAAAGAGAACAAATGTCCAGATTTTCACAATGCTGGAAGTCCAATTCATTTCCAATCCTAATTCAGTCAACTTAAGTTTAATGGAGTTACCAATCCAAAAACGGTAAATTCTTGACTTTTTTTTCCCAGATTCCACTGATCCCAGATCATCCCACTGAAAGTTATTGCAGTAATGACTCTGGTAAAAAATTTTCAAACTTCAATATTCAAACCGAAATCCCAATTGAAAGCTGTCAACATGCAAAAGGATTACACGGAAAAACAAATCTCAATATGTCAAGCGGTAGTCAAAATCAATTCTTGGCACATTTGGTCATTCAAATAAAAATTTCATGGAAAACAGTTGGTTGCTGACTTGCATTAAATACATATGTTGAAACTGCACACGGGGATCAACTCTGGAAACAGTATATATATGAGGGTGTATTCTGATCTTGGAGGATCATTCAAGTGATCAGAGTTCAGTATAATATACACTGAGATTCTGAATAGTATTACTTATAGGAAAGATGGTGAGTGGGGGGATAAATAGAATGAGAGTTTCTTTGACGGTTTTCTGTTTTAATGTTTTCTTGGTGAGTTTGGTTATTGCGAGAGATCTTAATGTTGTTAATGATGAGAAACCCATTTTAGATGCTGTTGCTAAAGATGACCTTGGGGCTGGGCTTGGTGCTGGCGGGGGATTTGGAGGTGGCATTGGGGGTGGTGGCGGGATTGGAGCTGGTGGAGGGTTTGGTGGCGGAGGTGGTATAGGTGGTGGTGCTGGTGGTGGATTTGGCACAGGTTGGGGGTTAGGACTTGGTGGTGGCGGTGGCTTTGGAATTGGTGGTGGAGGAGGTGGAGGAATTGGTGGCGGAGCTGGTGGTGGCTTTGGCGGAGGTATTGGTGGTGGAGCTGGTGGTGGCATCGCGGGAGGCGGTGGAATTGGAGGAGGAGGTGGCATTGGAGGAGGTGCTGGTGGCGGAATAGGTGGAGGAGCTGGAGGTGGTGCGGGAGCCGGTGGTGCCATTGGAGGCACAGCTGGAGGAGGAGCTGGCGGAGGAGCAGGAGGAGGTGGTGGAGCCGGAGGAGCAGGAGCTGGTGGTGGTGCAGGTGCTGGTGGTGGAGCTGGAGGAGCCGCTGGTGGTGCAGCAGGAGGAGCTGGTGGAGGTGGTGGAGCCGGAGGTGGCGGTGGAATTGGTGGTATTGGAGGCGGAGCTGGTGGCGGTAAAGGAGGTGGAATTGGGGGAGCTGCTGGTGGTGCAGCAGGTGGAGCTGGTGGAGGCGGTGGAGCTGGAGGTGGCGGTGGAATTGGTGGCATTGGAGGCGGAGCTGGTGGCGGTAAAGGAGGGGGAATTGGAGGAGCTGCTGGTGGTGCAGCAGGTGGAGCTGGAGGTGGCGGTGGAATCGGTGGCATTGGAGGTGGAGTTGGTGGTGGTGCCGGTAAAGGTGGGGGCATTGGCGGAGCGGCCGGCGGAGCAGCTGGAGGAGCTGGTGGAGGCGGCGGAGCTGGAGGTGGTGGCGGAATTGGTGGTATCGGAGGAGGCGCTGGCGGTGGTGCTGGAGCTGGTGGTGGTGTTGGCGGTGCAGGAGGGGCCGCTGGAGGAGGAGCGGGTGGTGGTGCAGGAGGAGGTGGCGGTGCTGGTGGAGCTGGAGCAGGAGGTGGTGCTGGTGCCGGTGGAGGAATAGGAGGAGCTGGTGGTATTGGAGGAGCTGCAGGTGGCGGGGGAGGTTTTGGAGGTGGTGTTGGTGGTATAGGTGGCGGTTTTGGCAAAGGTGGCGGTATAGGTGGTGGTGCTGGTGGAATAGGTGGTGGTGCTGGTGGAGGCGGAGGCGGAGGTGGTAGTATTGGTGGTGTAGGTGGTGGTTTCGGTAAAGGTGGTGGTATCGGTGTTGGTGCTGGTGGAATAGGGGGTGGTGCCGGTGGAGGAGGTGGCGGTAGTATTGGCGGTGTAGGTGGTGGTTTTGGTAAAGGTGGTGGTATTGGTGTAGGTGCTGGTGGAATAGGGGGTGGTGCTGGCGGAGGCGGAGGTGGAGGCGGTAGTATAGGCGGCGTTGGTGGTGGATTTGGCAAAGGCGGTGGGATTGGAGGAGGAATTGGGGGTGTTGGTACTGGAGGAGGAGGTGGCGGTGGAGGCGGAATCGGCGGTGTTGGTGGAGGCAAAGGTGGTGGATTCGGTGGCGGAATCGGTGGACTCGCTCGGTGATATAATCCGATTCAATAAATTTCATCAGAAAAAGAAGATTTTGAGCATTTATTTTATGCAATGATCCTTAGATTTTGTCAATTAAATTCGATCACGTGTATTCAAACTTTGAAAGCGTGAAAAATGATTTTTTCCCATTCAATTTATTTCTGAGCTTGAGATTTTAATTATTCCCATTCAGCCCATCCATTTGTACTCCAAAATTTCTATGATTATGTTATTTGAAGTGAATTTTTTTAATACATATATATATATATATTCTGAAGTATGCAATTAAATTTGTTCTAAATTCAATATTAAGTTCAGCAAAATTGTAGAGAACCATTTCAAATTAACAGCAAAGTGAAAATGACAAAAAATAAAAATAAAAATAAAAAATAATAATAATCTAGTTTGAAGGCAACATTTGAATGAGTTGAAGTTTCAGAAAAATGTAACCGATGAAATTAAGGCAATAAAATCTGAGAGTAAATGTTCATTGAATAATGTGTGAGCTGTAAAGATTGAGAGTATATCTTTTGATAGTACTCTAAAAGTTAAAACAACTCCCATTAAGCTAAGATTTTTTTCTTTAATTGTATTATTAAGACTTTAAAGCTAAAGGATAAATGCATCTGATCTACGTACTAGGAAAATTGATTTTTCTTTAATCCAATTAATTAATAGACCGTGAATCTTCAAAGCACGTGAATACTGTGACGATATTAAAGATAGACATGTATGATTGCGCCTTTCTTTTTTATTATATACTAGTGAAATTGTATTCATTTTATAATGAAATTTGTTAATTTACAAGTTTATTTCATAAGAATGTAACACTATTAGTTGTTTCCCTAACTTTTTGTATCTCGTTGGAGTCTCAATAAGATACTTGTAGTAATATAATTTGAGGATTGGCTGCGCATAAGTGATGCAACAAAAAAAATACAATGGTATCTACTGCTCCATTTGTTTCAAAATTATAATCCAATTTGAATTTTACTTTTAGTTTAATTTTGTATTATAAAAGAAAATCTAAATTACACATTAATTTTAGAGCAGAAGGAGTACTTATCAAGAAACCACGAATTATGAATGAATGATGCGTTTGAAACAACTTTTATGAAGTGTTTGGGAGGGTTTGAAAATGTGGCTATGAGTTTCATAAAAAATTTTGATGCTTGGTTCATTTTATGGGCCTAATAAAATGGAATTCATTCCAAAAATCTCATTCCCAACCATTATGGAGGGTATGTATTCCATCTTCGTGTGTTCTTTGTTTTTTCCCTTCTACCCTTCTCACAATTTATCTTTTTCCAGCATCCTCATTAACTCTCCTTCTAGCTCCTTCGAACTTTGATCTCCATCTTTACTCCTTTAATCATCTCTATCATTCTATCCATTAGAACAAATAAAAAAAAATTACCTTTTACTCAAGTATTATCTCCCCATAGAATGATTGTGCCTTTAAAATGTACTTTCTGTTTTGTATTTTTCAGGTATAAAGCGATTTTAAAATTCATTTGGCTCAACATGTATGTCCAAAAATAGGGAAAATTCTTAAAAGGTATGGAAAAGATTAAAATTATTCTTAAGGCCATTAATAATTTTTATTCTTCTTCTAAACTTCTCAAATTCAGCAAATGCCTTAAGATAATTTAAAAGACTATTTTATCCTTTTGATGACCCTTACTATATTATCCATTCCTCCCCAAACAGTAATGAGCAATAGTTACTTCCCAATTGGGAGGTTCAACAAGATTCTTAATTTTTTATGAACTCAACTATTTTGATCCAAATCATCTTTTGTTGTTTTCTCCTTTTCAATTTTAGCTTTCATAGTTTCAACTCTTGAGTTTTGATAGTAATAACGTGAACCCAATGGGAGCCCTAATAAATAAGGGGATTGATAGCCGCCGAAAATTGAAAGTGACACTTCTCTTCCTTGCCAGGGTCGGCAGCCCAGTTCGGCTATTAGCTTACGAATATATATAGAAGGATTTGTACCAACCTACACCAAACGGAGCTCTGAGTCTGGATTTTATTTGTAAAAAAGAAGCTGTTATTGTTGAGGTTGGTTGTTCCGAACGTGATTGAGTTCGGTCGTAACGTGATTGGCTTTGTCGTTGAAGAAGAGGTTGCAAATATTTTGGAGGCCCCTTTCAGCAGTTCTTGTCCATGGAAGAGACTATTGTACAGTGTTTATTATCAGTAGATCTTATTGCTTGAAGCATCTACAATAGCCTAACTAATTACTTTTGCAGATCGTGGATTATAGCCCTAGACAGTTTCTAAATCTTAAGTTATACTTTCTTCTAGATGTTTCCTGATGTAAATGTTCAAAGTCTTGTAGATGCTTTTAGTTTGGCATCATTTTCAAGAATCCAAAGCCGCCCACTTCTGAACATTTACATCAGGAAACATCTAGAAGAAAGTATAACTTAAGATTTAGAAATCGCACTTCCAACATTCACGGAGGTTGTATTCACAATTCATCTCTGTGCATCGCCTGGTGTGCTCTGTCATGTACCCTGAGGATTGTTTATGTTGTTGCTCACCTGAAATGACTGCATAGATATTGAGAGGGGAAGGAACGAGAGGCCTTGATAGGACATAAGTAGAGGAAAAAAGAAACTCAATTCAATAGGGGACTGACTGATAAAGGCAGAAGATGGAAATGGGAGACTGCCGGCAGAAGAGTCTCATGAACGTTAACGAGATGGGAGAAAAAAAAAAAAAGACAAGTACATAGTTACCATGGTTTCGAGATAAGGGTAAACCAGTCATTTTCAAATTCAAAACATATAAAAGTTATTTAGATATTCACGTTGAAAAATACAAAAAATGTCGATCCTCTTAAAAATAATTTTGATCTTTCCCATTACCTTTTTAACAATTTTCCCTTAAAAAACTGTCAAAATTATCAATTCTTCATTGAAAAAAGCATGTCATAGGAATCTTACTATATATTAAGGGAATTTTGCTCACAAGACACATGTCGCACTATTAGATCATCAATAGTTTCAAAAAATACGTGTCCAGTTTTCATTCGTTTAAAAACTAAAGTAATACATGTGTCAACATTTTGTTGGCTTATTACTTTTTACTAATGTTGTACTACATCTCATAACTGTAGTTTCCTAATAGTAAAACATTTATGATAATTTTTAAAATATCATTGGTTTTACCTTTTCACCGACTATTATAGATTTAACTCAACCAAATAATCGTTGAAATAACCCCGGCGATTTGATCTGCGGCGAATTCATCAATAATAGTTGCCGTCGGTGAAATAACTCCGGCGATTTAATCTCCGGTGATGGCATGATATATCACCTGAATTTAACGTAATCGCCCAAAATAGTTGCCGTCGAGCGCCGCCGCAATCTTCACAACCCAACCTTCTCACATCTCCGCCACGGGCAGACTCTAAAAAAAGGAGGCAAGGAGACCCCAAAAAAGAAAATAAAACAAAAAGAGGAGGCTTGCCACGAGATAAAGATAAGAGGAAAAAGAAGGTGTGCTGGGGAAGCAGAAGAGAAAAAATAAAAAAAAGGGGGTGGTGGCTGGGGGAGATAATGGGAGAGATAGGATTTTTTATTTTGATGTTTATAAAATTATGATATCACCCTGATAGTTTAAATTAGGAAACACTATGACTTGGAAACTTTACATTATACTTAATTTACAACATAATTTTTTTAATTTCATGAGCATAGTATTAATTTATTTAAGTTTATTTATTATGTAATAATGACGACATTGATTTTTTTAAGGCATTGTTAAAGAGAAAAATAAAGATGGAATGTTCCCCTTTTTCTTTTCAACGAGTTGTTAAATATACTAACATTGCAGCTAAAATCGGGTTGTTAAATATAACCCTTTATAAAACAGTTCGTAGTTATATATATATATATATATATATATATTTAATAATAGCGTTAGGGAAAGAACTTTCAAGGGATTATAGTACATCCATGTAAGACAGTCTCTTAGAATAGAGTGTTAAGAACCGTCATGGTGTTCATTAGAAGAACTTTTGTAAGACGTTCTCTATTTTGATTTGGGTAAGTCTTAAGCACTGCCTTTGTAATTTTTATTTTTAATTAATAAAATCGGAGGATGCCCGCCAAGTACCGCCCTAGTTCAGCTAAAACAAAAAAAAAAAAAAAATTCGATGCAGATTTTTAACCTTCCAAAATTATGGTACCTTTAAGTAAGGCGATACAGAGTGACATGAAAATTAAAAATATATAAGAAGATGGAATGAAACCCGCCGATTTTTTATTGCAACGTGTTGTCAAAAATACTAAACTATTAATTTATCGATAAGTGTCATCTTTAAACAAATAGTTCTTTCTTATTATTCTTTTTTTTTTGGCTTAACGGGGTGCCAAAAATACTAAAATAATAGTAAAAATAATTATAACTTTTTAACCTACAAAAAACTCGGAATCTTTTAAGTGAGAACGCAGAGTGACATGTTGTTAAAGAGAAAAATAAAGATAGCATGAGACCCACCATTTCTTTTTTTTTTATTTGTTTCTTTTTTGTTTTTTAGGTTCAACGGGCTGATATAAATACTAAAATAGTAGCTAAAATCATTGCAAATTTTTAACCTACCAAAAACATTGTTAAAAAATTCAAGATGAAATGAGACCCGCTGGTTCTTTTCTTTTGGTTCACGGGGTGTTATAAATACTAACATTGCAGCTAAAATCATTATAGATTTTTCACATACCAAAAACATTGTTAAAAAGAAAAATAAAGATGGAATGAGATCCACCGGTTCTTTTTCTTTTTGGTTCAACGGGCTATTATAAATACTAACATACCGCCTAAAATCATTGCAGATTTTTAACCTACCAAAAACATGAACCTTTAAATAGGACCATACAAAGTGACATGATGTTAAAAATATATAAGAAGATGGAATGAGACCCACAAATTTTTTTATTGCAACGGGTTGTCGAAAATACTAAACTATTTCATCTTTGAATAATAAGTTCTTGCTTATTCTTCTTTTTTTTTTTTTCTTTTAGGCTCAATGCGGTGCCAAAAGACACATTTTTAAGAGAATTTGTAATTACAATTACTTATTATTAAGGGAATTTTGCTCACAAGACACATGTCGCATTATTAGATCATCAATAGTTTCAAAAAACACGTGTCGCACTATTAGATCATCAATTACAAATTTTTAACGTACAAAAAACTCAAAATCTTTTAAGTGAGAACGCAGAGTGACATGTTGTTGAAAAAAAATAAAGATGGAATGAGACCCATCGGTTCTTTTTTTTTTTTGTTCAACGGGCTGTTATAAATACTAAAATAGTAGCTAAAATTATTTTAGATTTTAACCCACTAAAAAACATTGTTAAAAAAAATGAAGATGAAATGAGTCCCATTGGTTTTTTTTTCTTTTGGTTCAACCGGCTATTATAAATACTAACATTGCAGCTAAACTCATTGCAGATTTTTAATCAACCAAAAACATAGAATCTTTAATTAGGACGATACAGAGGGATATGATGTTAAAAATACATAAGAAGATGGAATGAGACCCGTCGATTTTTATTGTAACGGGTTGTCGAAAATAATAAACTATTAATTTGCCGATAATTATCATTTCTGAACAAATAGTTCTTACTAAATCTTTTTTTTCTTTTGGGATCAACGGGGTGCCAAAAATACAATAATAACAGACAAAACAATTAAAAATTTTTTAACCTACAAAAATTCGTAAGCTTTTAAGTGAGAACACAGAGTGACCTATTGTTAAAGAGAAAAATAAAGATGGAATGAGACCTACTGGTTCTTTTTTTTTTTTTTTTTTTTGGTTCAACAGGCTGTTATAATTACTAAAATAGTAACTAAAATCATTACAGATTTTTAGCCTACGAAAAACATATAACCTTTAAGTATGACGACACAGAGTGACATGATGTTAAAAATATAAAAGAACATGGAATGAGCCGCCGATTTTTTATTGCAACGGATTGTCGAAAATATTATACTATTAATTTATCAATAAGTATCATCTTTGAACCAATTCTTGCTTATTCTTCTTTTTTTTTTTTCTTTCTTTTGGGCTCGACGGGGTGCGAAAATACTATAATAGTATTCAAAACAATTATAAATTTAAACCTACAAAAATTCGGAATTTCTTTTAAGTGAGAACGCCGAATGACATGTTAAGAAGACCAACTGATTCTTTTTCTTTTTTTTTTTGGTTCAACGGGTTGTTATAAATGCTAAAATTGCATCTAAAATCATTGCAGATTTTTAATCTACAAAAAACATAGAAGTCGGACGATACAGAGTGATATGATATTAAAAATATAATAGAAGATGGAATGAGACCCGCCGATTGTTTGTTGCAACGGGTTGTCGAAAATATTAAACTATTAATTTATCGATAAGTATAATCTTTGAACAAATAATTCTTGTTTATTCTTCTATTTCCTTTTTCTTTTGAGTTCAAAGGGGTGCAAAAAATATTAAAATAGCAGCCAAAATTGTTCCAAGTATTTAACCTACCTAACACTAAAAACCTTTTGAGCAAGACGATGCAGAGTGACATGTTGTTAAATATTAAAATGTAGATCGAGTGAGATCTTCTTTTTTTTTTTTTTTTGTCTAATGGATTGTCAGAAATATTTAAATAGCAAAGTTTTATTTTTCTATCCAATTTCAATAATTATTATTTAAATTTATTTTATTACATGTTTTTATGTCTTATGAATTAAATTGGATTAAATTTTCTAATGTACTTTTTTCCCACGTGTTGTTATTGGCAACACGTCTATCAACCAAAACCATTGCAGTTTTTTAACTTATTAAAGAGTTAAAACCTTTTAAACATGAATATATAAAGTAACATGGTGTTAAAAGTGAAAATGAAGATGAATTAAGAACTGTGTTTTCTTCTTTTTTTTTTCTTCTTTTCTTTTTCGGTGTAACGATGTGTCAAAAATACTAAAATAGCAAATAAAACCATTACAATTTTTTAACCTACTATAGATTCGGAACCTTTTAAGTGAGATAACACGGAGTGAATTGTTGCTAAAGATAAAAATGAAGATTGAATGAGAGTCACCGGTTCTTTTTTTTTTTTTTGGTTCAACGGGTTGTTATAAATTCTATAGTAGCTAAAACCATTGCAGATTTTTAACTTACAAAAAACATGGAACATTTAAGCATGACGATATATAGTGACATGATGTTAAAAATATAAATGAAGATGGAATGAGACCCGTGGATTTTTTTTCCCAACGTATTGTCGAAAATACTAAACTATTAACTTATCGATAAGTATCATCTTTGAACAAATAATCTTTGATTAAATAGAAAAATTTTATTTTTAGTTCAATTTTCAATGATTATTAATCAAATTGTTCTTTTTTATTACGCGTTTTTATGTCTCATGAATTAAATTGGATTGAATTTTCTAATGCATTTTTTCCCAATGTGTTGCTATTTGTAACACGTCCATCAACGAAAACCATTGCATATGTATTATTTTATTAGTAAATAAACAATACATTTACTGTATGTTGTAACCTACTATCTGTTATACACCTTCGTTTTTATTCTTATATGTTGTAATTATATACTCATATTTTACGTTAAAAAACATAGGACAATTTATTACAAATTTGCCCACCGTGCAATGCACAGGTAAAATACTAGTATTACCTATAATTTGAAATTCTCCTGCATTAAAATTAGAAAAAACTACACGGATCTAATTTTATTAACACCATATTATCAAAAAAAGTAAAAGAAATAATTGAATGACAAGACTCTTTGTCCCAAACTAATAGAGTACTTGCATATCCTACTATATTAGAAACAAAAACCTCCCTTTCAAACACCTCATACGATTGCCACGTGGCATGTAGAAAGTACTAAATTGCCCTTTTGTCTAGCCATAACTAAATTACTAAATTTTCCTTTGCACTTTACGTGACACGTTTTTTTTATTTTATTTTTCCTTTATGTTGACTAGAGTGGTTTTTTAAATTGAATTGATCAATTAGGTTTTTGATACAAAGTGTCAACTTTGTTTTAAGCGAATACCCTTCGGATGAATCTTATTACAAAACTATTAAAAATCTCCAAAACTAAGTATTGATTTGGCACGACCAATGGAAAACATCAATAAATCATCTTACTAATATTTAAATTTATTAGGATGTTTTTATATTTTATCTAACATTTACTTCAACAAATTTATTCGATTAAGGCTATTTATATTTAATAAGTAACACTTATAAAACATTTCTAAAACATACATGGCGAAATACAATTTCTTTTTTTTTTTTTTGTGAAATACAAATATTTCTATGATCACACTTATAAAACATTTCTAATTCCTTCAAACATTTCTAAAATATATCGCTACAAATACAAAATTTTATTTTTTTTTCAAATATAAATATTTCTAAGATCTACAGATAGACTGGGCCAGGGTCGCGTATTGCGCGACCAAACATCATTAGTCTAAACAAGAAAGGAAAAAAAGAATTTTTTTTTTTTTTTTAAACTATTCCGTCTTATTAAGAACACTTTTAGCGTCTCTTCAGAAGTTCCAGTAACACAAGAATTATGCCCGTTTCCATCAATAATTCACGAACTTCTTGTGAAATATGTTTGATAAACATGAGTTGTTACATGATAATGTTTCTTAATCTAATCAGTTGGAGAAGATTCTACAGTTGTAAGATGAATTTTAATTATGATACAGTCACAGAAAAGAAATCTCTTTTAAGAACCAAAGGGGGGAAAAGGAAGAGAGGGAAAGATGTAAACTATTCAGAAGTGGGTGGCTTTGGATTCTTGATGATGATGCCAAACCAAAAGCAGGCAGTCAGGCACCCCTTTTGGATGAAAGAAAATGGGTTGTTGATGAGTGTTTGATTTGATGGCATTGTGGGCTCAAGTCAAATGACTTTCACCCCACAAAAAGGTAATTCTTTTTTCCTCCTTCATGATTGCTAATAATTAGTGTGAATTCGGTTTCGGTTTTGACTATCTAGTTTTTTCACCATTATACAATGATGGCACTGTATTTCTTCAGCTTTTGTCACGGATAAAGATGGTTTCTTTGGTACACTAAGTCTGTTTTTCCTTGCTGAATGTAACTAGGCAGAGGTAACCTTTTTGGTGTTTTCAGCTGCTTAACGTAGTAAATTGTGTAGTTCACTCTACTCTTTTGCACTTGATTCTTATAGGGTCTAATTTGATGTAGTATGAAAACATTTTCTGAGTTGTGCAAGAAGCTTGAACTTTGCTTTTGCCCTTCCAGCCTTGTTTCATTTAGTTTTATCTTTGTGTAAAAGTGATCATTTGAATTGCATAAACATTGGTTGACAAGTGTGGTTTTTGGATCAATTTTGAATGTGGTAAAGCTGGGATTCTGTTGCATAATGCTTCTCTGGGGAATCTTGAACTTTTTGAGTTCAAGTTCTGTATGTATAATTTTTTTCATTTTATAGTAATGTGAGTGCTTTGAATGGTAAGGAATTCAGAGTTTCACTGTTTATTTGCGTATTTCTTTAACATGTAAAGGGATGTGTGGAATGAGAATCAAAGACTGGCTTCACAATAGGAAAAATAGCTTTAGTGGGAGACTTCAAAAGATGATGAAGTGCATTTGGTCTGGGGAGCACCTGAGGATTGATGAAACTATTGCTTCGTCGTCGGAGTCTCTGGCAACCAGGGACTACTCAGCCACAGCCAGCGGGTTCTCTTCTCGTGCTGGTGAACCTGATCGAAAGGTTGATACAAGCAACATTGAAGAAGCAGAATCATCACTTCGCGAGAGTGGCTATTTAAATTATGAGGTTGGTGAATTTGAATATTGTTGCACCATTATAGCTTTTGTGTATTGAAATACTGGGGTAAGGCTGCGTACATCTTGACCCCCCAGACCCCAACCAAGTTGGGAATGTACTTGGTATGTAGTAGTAGTAGTAGTTGTTGTTGTTGTATTAACCTTCATTTTGCTTGATCATTTCAGAAGAACTTTTCATTCTCGTTAAAAAGAATTGTTCTGTTAGCACCATCACCATGTTAGAGGTAAATCATCAGTCTTGTTCTGCACAAAGGCCAGCTAAATTCTTGTGTCATATAGTTTGATTTGTTGAAATTATCAATACGATGTGAGGTGTCAAGAGAAATCGAGACCTCTAGGCTGGATTGTTTCTCTGTATGGTCCAGTGATCCAGTCAGCTGAATAGTGTTTAAGAATAATATGTGGGATTTGGATAATGAACTGGATAAAGTCCCAAGGTTGGTTGTACTCAGTACTCACACTGGCACATAGAATGGTTGGGAATGAAGAGTGTGTGAAGTGATAATTTGCGAAAATAAGAATATCAACAAAAGATACTATGGGTTATAGGTTTGGATATTGAGCATTGCTTCTGCAGTAGAGATCCATAGGATGAATTTGATTATGAGCATCCAGTTTCAGGAAGTTCTGACAAATTCTTACATGCTTATTACCATGCTGACATGCAACTTGACCTCTAAAATGTGGTCTGTTACTGCAGTGCTCTTGACTAACTCTGCCATTCTTAATGTGGACCGGTTCACCACAGCCCCCGCTATTTTGCTCTATTGATTTGAGTTACTCATGTATGAATTCTTCTGTCTTTTCAACTCGTGCAGAAATAGACTTGTCTTTATTATCATTTGGTTTGTCATATGTATGAAGTAAAAGAAATTGACTATCGGACTTATATTCTGATTGGTAATTAAAAAATCTTTTGGAATCTGTAGGAAGCTAGAGCACTATTGGGTCGGCTTGAGTATCAGAAAGGAAATGTGGAGGCTGCTCTGCATGTTTTTGAAGGGATTGACATTGCTGCTGTGATTCCAAAAATAAAAGTTTCTATTGCTAGAAGATGTGAGTTACCTAGACGGCTTTCCCAAAGTGACGCTGCTCCACCTTTGTCAATGCATGCTGTTAGTTTGCTCTTTGAAGCAATTTTTCTGAAAGCTAAATCACTTATGGTCCTCCAGAAATTTACAGGTTCTTCCACCACCTTATTCAACTGAGAGTAGTCGTATTCAAACACACAAAAAGAAAAAAAAAGAAAAAAAGAAAGGGTGTAGTAGTATTTAAAAGTACAATAACAAGCCTTGATCCCACTTATTTGAGTATGTGGTTGGTTATATGTAGTCGTTATATTCAAACACATTAAAAAAAATAGTGGGAGTAGTAATATTCATACTTTGATCAAAAGTTGCTTCCTCTGCCTGTTTGGAATTTGGTTAAAGGGCTTTTCTCCACCTGATTTGGAATTTGTTCGCTTCTGAAATTTTATAAGCCTGTTCTACCTTGTGGACTGCAGCCTGATTGTGTTGCGTTCTCATGCTTTGTAATATTAGATAGCGCCTCTCGAAAAGCACCATGACTGAAATATCATTCATTTCTGGATGTTATCATTGATTTTGAACACGTAAACGTAATTAATTTCGTCTTTAAAGGTCCCAATAAATTTTCTTTTGTTTGTTTGGATGTTGTAAAGTTTTAGATCCTTTCACTTAGAAGCACCATTGTCCTTGTCATGTTACAGAGGCTGCTCAATCCTGTAAAGTAATTTTGGATACTGTGGAAGCTGCTGTGCCAGAAGGCTTGCCTGAAAAATTTGCTTCTGATAGCAAATTGTTGGATACTTTAAGCAAGGCTGTTGAGCTACTTCCAGAGTTGTGGAAACTCGCTGATGTTCCTCAGGAAGTTATTTTATCATATAGGCGAGCTCTCCTATACCATTGGAACCTTGACGTGGAAACCAGAGGTAAATTAGAAAAGGAATTTGCCACCTTTCTTCTCTATAGTGGTTGCGATGCAACTGCTCCAAATCTTTGCTCACAGGCAGAGGGTTCCTTTATTCCGACAAACAATATTGAAGAGGCTGTTCTCCTACTACTACTTGTGCTGAGAAAGTCTGCATTGAACAAAATTATATGGGATCCATCTGTCTTGGATCATCTTATTTTCGCATTATCCATAGCAGGTGAACTTAGGACTGCTGCCCATCAGATTGAGGAATTGTCTACTGGAACCATTGAAGAAAAAAACAAGTACACTACTCTTGCACTGTGTTACTATGGTGAAGGAGACAGCTTGGTAGCTTTAAATTTATTGACTAACGTATTGAATAACCGAGAAAACCATAATTGCATATTTGAGTTATTACTTGCTTCAAAGATTTGTGGGGAGATTCCCAATCATATCGAAGAAGGTTCAAGATTTGCTCGGAAGGTAATTTCTCATTGTGGTGGAAAATGTGAGCATTTGGCCATTGTTGCCAATTATTTGCTTGGAATTTCGCTATCAGCTCAATCTCAAGAGCTGGTTTCAGATTCCAAGAAGCTCTCAAGACAGGCAGAAGCACTTGAGGCACTAGAAACGGCTCGGAAAATGTCCAGCGAAATTAATTCTGATGTGTTATTCCACCTTAGTTTAGAATATGCTGAACAGAGAAAGTTGGATGCTGCTTTATACTATGCAAAGAGGTTGGTGAGAAATGAGGCAGGATCCAGTCTTAAGGGATGGATTCTCTTGGCTCGTATACTGTCTGCTAAGAAAAGGTACATGGACGCCGAAAACATTGTAAATGGTGCTTTAGATGAGACTGTGATGTGGGATCAAGGAGAGCTACTGCAGACCAAGGGTAGACTACAGATCGCACAGGGTCATCTGAGGGAAGCCATAGAGACATATACCCATCTCCTTGCTGTTCTTCAAGTTCAAAAGAGGAGTTATGGTGTCCATAAGAACCCTCCAAAGGTATGTGTATAATGCAAAGGTCGTGTCCTATTTTGACTTGTATGGATAAGTAATTTATGAAAATGTCTTCAGTAAACTCAGTCGGTACAGAATTCATTTTCCCAAAAAGCAAAAGCCAGAAGAATCTGCCTTACTTCATATCACATGCTATTTGCTAGTTATGCCAACCTATATATGATTTGGGGCAGAGGAGACACCACTTATTTCTTCTTTGCATTTCATGTTTACGTATGTTTTTTAAACAGAACAGGAGGAACAATAATAGAAGCTTGGAGATGGAAACATGGCACGACCTAGCGAATGTATATACAAGCCTGTCTCAGTGGCAGGATGCTGAGGTTTGTCTATCAAAGTCCGAAGCTATCAATCCTCATTCTGCCTCTAGACTTCACTCAACAGGTAAAAGTTTTCCCATAATTCCTCTTATCTCGAGAGCATCACATCATATTTGGATTCATCTTCTGCTGATTTCGGCTCACTGCAGTCATAGTGTTTATGTAACCATAATTTTGCTGCTAACTTCTCAAATTCCTGTCTCCAATTCCTTGTGAGTTCCTAAGTTCCAAGTTCAAAGCCCTTTTGGTTGACACAAGTTTGTCTTCTAACTGAATTTCAAACATTTGACTTTCTTGTGAATCTGCACTCTATCCACTGTCCAGTTTGTGAGTCTTATGTTTGTGGCTTTTTCTCTTCTACTGCATGCATGTTTACTGCAGATGACATTTCACATAAACGAATTATGTATCGCATTGATCTATATTGATTCTCAATATTTTGAACTCCATATCCTTGCGCAGGCTTACTTTATGAAGCTAAGGGATTGAAAAATGAAGCCTTGAAATTCTTTGAGACAGCACTAGACCTGGAACCTAGTCATGTTCCAAGTCTAATATCTGTTGCCATTAATTTGCGACAACTTGGCGACAAATCACTGCCAATTGTGAAGAGCTTCCTTACTGATGCTCTGCGCCTCGATAGAACAAATCCTTCTGCTTGGTACAATCTTGGGCTGCTGTATAAAACTGAAGTTGGAGCATCAGTAAAAGAAGCTGCTGAATGTTTCGAGGCAGCTGCCCTTCTCCAGGAAACAGCTCCTGTAGAACCTTTCAGATGAAACTGACCTAAACACCTTTGTCCCAAACAAGTATCTTATTCAGGAAAAAGATGCTTTTTAATTTGCCAAAGATAGTTCTGTTGATGTACATGGAAAGGGTAATATTCCAATAGAAAAAATGAAAAATGTTATATGCTGTGAAATCTCACAGAGACTGACAGACATTTACTGCGGAAGATTATTGGACAGCGGTGTTGCTAGTAATACTTTTTATCACAGTTGCTACTCTGGTCAAGAGAGAATGACATAGAATAATGATGATCCTTTCCCGAGAGGCAAAAAAACTGAAAATGTTGCAAAGAATCACACACACACAAACACAGAGGTCCAAAAATTTCGAGTACTTTCCTTCATTGTTTGAATGTGATGAATTTCCATGCTCCAAAATCTAAACCAACTTAAAAATCGGAAAATAGATTACAAGGGGTTATGATCATATCTAATCAAAGGCACATGACTTATTTTATGGAAATCTTCGCCTTCTTGGTTTTCTGATGTCCGGATCCTTTCTCTGAAATTCGGAGCCATTGTATCGATGTTCAATGTTTCAAGGGTAGTCACAAACTTTAAACCATCAGGAATTGCGTTTAGGGCTGGCCATCTCGAGATCCAAAGAGTACGAAGGTGAGGCATTGCATCTTTCTCCACCACCCATCTTTCCAGGTTCTCAAACTTCCAAAGTTCAAGTATCCTGAGTTGAGGAAAACCCCCAGCATTGAAAATCATTTCTTTCCGGCGAAGTCCAATCAATGTGAGTTTACGCAAATGGCTGAATTTCTCTACCGTCTCGCATATTGTCTCTTCGGCGTCCAAGCCGCCATAATTAACCTCTAACTCAACAAGGCTTGACAACATATTGTTAGATTCAAGTTCAGGACTTTCCTTCCACAATGCCACTGAAGTACTCAAACAATATACATTTCTTCCAAAGAAGAGTTGTTTTAGAACCTTCACCCCTTTGCCGCCACTCATTGAACTGGAATCACAATGGTTGTGGATGGACACTTGTTGTAACTTGTTACTCCTCTGAACATGATTTGCAATCAGCTCCAGGTTTTCAAATTTCTCACATCTGGCAAAAAGCACCCGTAGATTCTTTAGCTCGATCAAATCTTTAGTGTAACAGATCATGTCTCGGAAGTTTTCAAGTCTCTAACTTGTTCAAGCCATCAAGTCTTAATCTGTTCGACTGCATATAATATCTCCCATGAGGTAGGTATAAATATGTCAATCCTGTCATCTTCCAGAAAACATTCGGTAATCTCCAACTCTGATTACCTAATCTTAGATCAAGGGTTTGCAAATGCTTCAATTTGCCAAGAGAAGATGGGAGTGACTGAAAGTAAGAATCTCTCAAGCTCATGTACCTCAAATGGACTAGCTTTCCTATTGCTTTTGGCAGCTTGTTGGTAGCCTCCTGATGTAAACCTTCAAGTGACAAAACTCGTAGCACCACACAGCAGTTCAGTTGAGAATTAATGGACTCTATGATGGCTCTCGCGTACAATTTCTTGTTCCCTGCCAATTGAAACATCCTGAGGTACTTTGCAATTTCCTTTTTGGGGGAAACATATATGTACTGATCTGGACCAAGACTGATGGCAAGGCGTCGAAGTTTACAGATGGAAGATTCATTTAGTGATCCATATGGTTCATAACTATCGTTTCCTTCAGAGGAATATCTGATATAATTGAGAAAACTTTCAGCATCGGCCTGAAGTAAGCAAAAGTCGCGCATCAGATCATGGAGGCGGCATGACCTGAATCCTCTAATTCCAGGCAGCTCTGATGTTTGTAGTTGGACCATTCCACGTTGTCCAATTCCACCAAGTACTGCTCAGCAACCTTCATCATGGATTCTTGCCCGACACGATCCTGTTTCAGAACCATACCTTCTGCAATCCACATTTGATACAATGTGTCTACAGGAATCTCAGCATCATCCGCGAAGGATCCCAAATACAGAAAACATGGTTTCAACTGGGAAGGCAAGTCATAGTAGCTTAGAGCCAAAATCCTCTGTAATTCACCTTCTTTGCCAATAGTTTTGCCCTTAAATATATAAGCCTTGATATCTTGATGCACAGCCTGCCATTCGCTCACATTATTTCTTGCTAACAATATTCCCCCAAGAACAACCACGGCTAATGGAAGACCACCACAACATGTAGCCATTTTTCTTCCTAATTCTTCAAGTTCATTCTGGTTAGTGCTCATGATGTGCCCTGACAAAGATTTTAAACAATCAAATGCTTGCATTTCCTTAAAAATGAGTACTATATCCTTATATAGATTCCCCAAAATGGATGGATTTTTTCAAGAAGTTCATTTACAAATGAAATGAACTACTGTACAAAAAGGTGTGGAGAAGTACACATACCTGCATTAGATCTTTGTCTAAGTGATTTTCTTCGGAGCAAGTTCCAGCTTTCATCCTCGTTTAGAAGTCGAGGTTGATGGTGGAAGCCATCAGGGTCAATGTGTAGCGCCACATCTCGAATACGAGTAGTTAGCAAAATTTTGCTACCAACAGCCTGTCTCATTGGGAAGGCATTCTTAATAGATTCCCAAACATCAGTAGTCCAAATATCATCAAGAACTATCAAACACTTCATTTGCTGTTGAATCTCCCAAAGTTCCCTGATCAGCTCCTCTTCTCTCCAATACATTTCAATCTCCTTTTTCTTTTCAGGGACGAGCCTGATCATTATCCGCTGCAACAGATCCTTCGCTTGCCATTGTTGGGACAAACAAATCCAGACTAATCTACTGAAATGGCGTTTCGCACTTGGATGGTTGTACACTTTTCTGGCCAGCGTCGTCTTTCCTAATCCGCCCATCCCGAATATGGAAACAACTCTGTGATTGGCAATGTTCTGATCATCTGTGCCCACCAAATGCTTCACCAGCAGATCCACATCATCCTCCAACCCGACAAAGTCATCCTCTTCGACAAAGGAATACGTCCTCCTCAGAAGCTGTGGCCTTAAACTTGAGCCTTCATTCTCTATTACGTCTCTTACTCCATACGCTTGTAAGCTGTTCTGGAGCTTGGACGCCTTTTGGAGCAGAGATTTCAGTTTTGACGCGGTTTTGTGTCGGCGATAACAGTCATTCAAGATGAAAATGCTTCTTCTGACGACGACATAAGCCAAACCTGCATCCCTAGTGGATGCAACTTTGAAAGCGTAGCCTTCGAGAAAATCTTCAGCGGCAAAAGCCATTTCTCTGGCTTCAAAGATCCACTGTTGGAACCTGTCCTTCTCGGTTGTTTTCTTCTCAGCGTCTTCTAAGAACCATTGTAATCTACTTAGTTCGGATTGAAGTTCCTCGGCCTTGCCTTTGACGCCGTAGAGGAATTTCGCTTCGTCAATCAGCAAATCGCCGATTGTTTTCACAGCGTATGTTATGAAAGGATCTACTGACATTTTGGAAAATTTTTTCTTCTTCTTTTTTCTTAAATAATTTTCACTCGATAAGATCACGATTCACGAAGCATGCTTGTTCGAAAATCGACCATTAGTCCTCATTTCCGACGATGGAAGGAAATCCTTGCCGGAAATTACCGACAAGAAAAAGAAGTTTCCGCAATACAGCGGTGTACCCGTTTGCTGTTGACTTTATGAACCTGTACAACTTTTGAAATGTCTTCTTAAACTTGAATTATCTAACCCTTCCGAATAGATAGTTCGGTATAAACAATTATTTCCAAACGGAGTGAGTTACTTGTAAGAAATAATTTTATAAAAAAATTAAAATTTAAATTGGACAATATCATTTTGAGATTGTACGATGAACTGCAGCAAGGGCGGATTTAGGTCCCATAGATATGGTGGGGCAAAAATTTTAAAATCTTAATTTAATATATTTGCCCCTTAATAATTTCAATTTAGATGGGGCAAACAGTAATTTTTTTACAAAAAAATTACTAAATATAAAAGGGAAACGAGTAAAAAAAAAAATTCCAGCTGGGTTATATGTGCGTCCGCCCCTGACTAGCAGTGCAAAAATGATAAAATAATTGTTTCAGACCGGAGAGTACTTCAAACTATATATATATATATATATATATATATATATATATATATATATATATGTGATGAAAGCACTATTGGCAGGTTGAAAATTTTACACAAGTCTCATTCTTCGTTTTTGTTCCCCCTCTGGAACTGATAGTTCCCAATGTCTTTGATGGTTTTTTAGTTCTATATGACAACATAAATGTCTATTCTTAGGTAGATTACACATTAATAATGGTATGTCTTACACAGCGAAACGAAGACTAAATAATGAAAGACTTGGTTGCGGGATTGACTTGGGGGAAAAAAACAATTCCTCTCACGTTTAACAGTGATAGTGTGAGTGCCTCCCCGCCCCCAGTGATAGTGTGAGTGCCTCCCCGCCCCCGGAAAGTGCGTTTTCTTATTCAGCCTATGTGTTTATTGGTGATGGTGTGATATTTTTTTTATTCTTGCGAAAGGGTGTGTTTCTTGTTCACACATATAATTAAGAATACAATTTTGGTAAAAAAATATCATCCATCTTTTTTGCAGCATTAGGGTATGTATATGTATTAAAGAAATAATTATTGAACTTCTAATTTTCAAATGTATACCTTCTTGTTCCCAATTAAAAGTGTTCGGATTATACAAAAATTTAAAATTGAAGTAATACCTTCTTTTATTATAGTATAAAAAAACCCTCTCAAACATTTTAAAGTCATACATGTTTTATTGATTTGGCTTGTTTTATTGCACGTTAGCCAAATTTTTCCTAAAATTAATAACAATAACTTGGAAGTTTTTTTTTTCTTTTGTTATTCAAGTTATGTATTTTCCTAACAAATTTTTCTTTTTTATCGTTTTTTAAATAATGAAATTGGTCTGGTTTTGTGATGAGTTGAAAATTCATATGAAATAATTCTTCAAATTGTATTGATAAAATCTTCGTTGACCTTGCTAATGCAAGGTCAATTATCTAAATTAAGTAAATATCATCAACCAGACATAATGGTTATAAATTATATAATAAATATTAATTGATGTTTCCCATGCAATTTTCTTTGGACTTTGAATCTTTTATGCTGCCAATAAAGTTAAATAGTCCACCACAAAACTTGTCTCCCAAAATTCATGTATGAACTTTATTTCCCAATCTCGACACAGTAATTGTCGAATGGCCATAACAAGTCCAACATTAATCCCACAAACCATCTCCTCCTCTTGCTTCACCATTCCGAGAATCTTATTATTATCAACTTCCGCGACAACATTTTTATATCCAGAGTTCTAAGCAAGTGTTAAGGCTTAAAATAATCTCCATAATTCTGCTCCTATGTTCATTGTGAAACCACCCGAGCCATCGACAATGCAATCTCTGGCGACTCCTCCGACACTCGCCAGCTCCGAATGGACTACCAAAACTACCATCCGAGTTCACATTACATGATCCAATTAGAAAGTAAAAATTAAATTAAAAATTCATAACAAGGTAAACTAAAACCTTTTTGCGGTGAAGTTAAATTGTAACATGAGTATTACGACTAGCTGCGGTCGCTGGCCATTGTGTTTTTTTTCCCCCGGCATTAATTTAACTTTTCTAAAGAGCTGTGTTAGCCATGATTTCCAAGCACTCTTAGATTAGTTAGCTTGAACAAATCAGTGATTCTTCCCTGATTCAATCCTCTGTCAGAACCATACCTTCAGCAATCCACACAGTTGATGTAAGGTTTCTGCATCAATATCATCATTTTCCTCCTGCTCATACGCATATATACCTTTCGGGCCTAATTATAAACCATAAATTTGTAGCAACTTTAGTGTTAATTGGTTCCTTATAATTAAAATCAGAGGGAGTATATCTGAGTAAATGGAGAAAAAAGAAGGTAGAGGACTAATGACAACAACGAAATTCAATTATGATTCCTCTACAACAGGGAAGTTTTTACTTTCAAAACGTCATAATGAAGCCAAAGGTCGTCGTGGTAAATTGATCAGTTGTCACCAGGGGATCCTTGTCGCCAACAAATTACAACTAATACTTGAATAAAATTTGTTGAACTACATAGAATGTCGTTAATAGTTTGAGGTGTCATTGTGTGATCGATGCAACGCGATTCAGCATTGTACTTAGTTTGAATCTGTCCTTTTCAGTTCTGAACGAAGCTCGTCCGCCTTGTCCTTGACACCGTAGGGGAATTTTCCTTCTCCAATCAACAAGGCACCAATTGTGTTCACAGCAAATGAATCATGTAGTTGTACAATAAAGTACATTCTACTAGAAAGGTTGCTAATCACTTCTTGGTAAGATCAATTCCAGCCTTGTAAGCAACAACATCTAATTCGTTTTGTCTTAAGAAATTCAGTGAGCAGTGGTGATGGACCCCTATCACCTGCCAATTTCAATATCTGTCACAACCACCACTGCGAGGAGATACTCTCCCCCAGGGAAACAGTTACGACAAAGTGGATGTGAACTGTTTTTCTGAAAAGGAAGCCCCGAGACTTTTGTCTGGAAAGACTTTATTCATTAATAGTATTTAAGTAAGAACATTAGTAGTGTTTAGTAAGGACATTAAAAGTAATTCTCCAGCATAGTTCTCACCAGAATCTCTAGTACTACAGATTCACAAATTGCAGCTTTCTTGGTCTTGTGGATCAAGCAGTATGCAAAGAGCTTCCGCCCGTTGATCGAGCAAACCCTTCAACTTGTTAAAATCTTAAGATAAAAGCCAAGCTAAACATGGATCATTACTGTATTGAAGATTTTTGCATTGAGAGAGAATCATCAGTTGGGTAAGTTATTATGCTCTAGTTTTTTATGTCCCCGGCTGTAAATTCAGCCTGCTGTGTTTATGTTCATAAATCATAATGCAAGGACAACTGCCAAGGCCCAAGACTTTGAAGTAAAGTTCTAGCATTTCAGTATTTTGTAATTGAAACTAACTTAAGATCCTTCTCTTTTATTACAAACGCTAAGCAGACATAAAGATTATTCCCCTCTGTCCTAAATAAGAGTCATGTTTGTTGTACTATTACAACGAATATTACTCTTATTTTGGGACATAGGATCAGAACTTTAACAATTTTGCAAACTGATTAGAAAGGGTTAAAATCATATGTAACCATAGGGACATGGCTTATCTTATGAAAATCTTCACCTTCTTGGCCTTCTGGAGTCCGAATCCTTTCCTTGAATGTCGAAGGCATGTGATTAATGTCCAATTCTTCTAGAGTAGTCACAAACTGTAGACCAGCAGGAAGGGCTTCAAGCTTAGGACATCTCCAGATGTAGAGAGTACGAAGATTAGGCATAGCTCCTTTCTCCACCACCCACCGTTCCAGGTTGGGCAAATCCAAGAGACAGAATCTCCTTAATTGAACAAAACCCGCGGCGCGAAAAATCATTTCTCTACTCGGAAGAGACAACAATCTTAAGTCACGCAAGTGGGGGAATTTCTCCACTGTCTCACATATATTATCGTCTTCCTCCGAACCACAATAATTAATCGACAACTCAACAAGATTTGATGACAAACTGTTGGATTCAAATTCTGGGAATTTCCACATTGCCACATTAACATGCAAACAGTACATGCTCCTTCCAAACAACAGTTGTTTCAGAACCTCCATCCTTTTGTCATCGATAGGAGGTTCACAACCATTCCAGATGGTTACTTGTTGCAACATGTCACTGCTCTGAACATATTTTGCAATCAGTTCAAAATTGTTCAACTTCTTACACCAGTATACCAGGAGAACTCGTAGATTAGTTAGCTTCAGCAAATCCGGTGTGTAACAGTAATCATCTCCGAAGTTCTCAAGTACCTCTAACTTGCTCAAACAATGAAGACGTAACTTGCATGGCAGCAGATTATTCCCGCCGGGCAGATACAAGAAAATCAGTCTTTTCAGCTTGCACAGAATATTAGGTAATCTCCACACAGGAGCTTGTAACCTTAAATCAAGCGTCAATAGATGCTTCAAATTTCCAAGAGACGAAGGGAAGACAACAAAGTAAGAATCTTTCAAGCTCAAGTATCTCAAATGGATCAGCTCCCCTATGGCCTTCGGCAGCTTCCAGACATCACAACATGTGAGGAAACTTATGGAGCTATGATTGGGGTATAGGCCTTCAATAGACAAACTATGAAGCATATGGAAGTTGTGCAGTTGAGATTTGATCGCCTTAGCCATTCGCCCCTCGTAGGAATAGCGAACCATTAATTGAAACATTCGAAGGTACTTTGTGATCTCCTTATTGGGGGGAGCATATCTATCAACATCCTCAGGATCCATACTGATTATGAGTCGACGAGGTTTACAAATAGAAGACCCGTAGAGAGAATCGTAGGGTCCAACATCTTTTTCTTCAGAAGAATATGTGATAGACTTGAGAAACCTTTCCTCTTCGGCCTGAATCAAGCAGAAGTCCCGCATAAGATCATGAAGGCGGCATGAACTAAATTTTGTAATCATTCCTGGCCGCTCTGATCCTTGCAATTGGACCATTCCTCGGTGTCCTAATTCCTCCAAGTACCGTTCTGCTAACTCCATCATTGATTCTTTCCCAACTCGATCCTCTTTTAGAACCATGCTTTCAGCTATCCACAACTGATATAAGGTTTGCACAGGAATATCAGCATCCTCCGGGAATGCACCCATGTAGAGAAAACAGTGTTTCAACTGGAATGGCAAGTCATGGTAGCTTAGAGCCAAAATCTTTTGTAGTTCTCCTTTACCTTCTCCAATACTTTTGCCCTTCCATATGTAAGACTTTATATTCTGATGCACAGCTTCCCACTCACGCAAACTATTCTTTGCAGCAAGAATTCCCCCGAGAACAACCACTGCTAATGGTAGACCATCACAACATTTGACCATTTTCTTTCCTAGTTCTTCCACCTCATTATATTGGTTTTCGTTCATGTTGTGCCCTGCAAAAGTGGCATAGTAATCAACGCTCCTTGTCTTTTAAACTTGCATATTTGAGTACGAGGGGAAACGAACAAGCAAGAATTTACCCCATTATGTATAGTCTCATTCATATTAAAATAGTTGATCATGCCATGTTTTCTAAAGTGTAACATCTACAAATCTCCTCCAAACGTGCAGCACTATCTCAAATGTGTTTCTCTTATAAATATTGTAACCAATTGTAAGAATATTTGAATATAGTGCTCAACAAAAGGAAGTTCTCTTCAAAAGTTCATATTGAAGCCAATGTCACGGTGCCAAATTAACTTATCTCCTACGTACTCCTCTCTTATCTTTTGGAATTATCATACTCCCTCCATCCCAGAATGATTGTTCAGTTTGGATTCTCACTTCTAATATAATTTATATAAGAAATAGTCGGACAATCATTTCGGGACGGAGGGTACAGTGAAGTTGCTCAAATTTCACTGTTACAGCAGTTATATGAATTCAAACCATACCATGCTCTTGATACTACAGTTTTATGCGTACAAAGTGTAACTATAATACAACCTAAGAAATTCATTGTGATTGAGCTAGTCTAGGTGCACAATAATGGCGTCCAACATGATTCTGATCTCAATCGTTAGAAAGACCAGATCTAATCCTACAAATATCTATAAAAAAAATGAGGTATATAAATGTAGGAAGATCACATACCTCCTCCATATCTTTCTCGTAGCGCCTTTCGCTTAAGCAAATCCCAACACTCACCTTCATTTAGAAGCCTCGGTTGATGATGGAAGCCGTCAGGACCAATGTGCAATGCCACATCTATGTTACGAGTAGTAAGCAAAATCTTGCTACCAGATTTCTGCCTAGTGGGGAAGGCATACTTTATGGATTCCCATGCATCGTCGGTCCAAATATCGTCGAGCACTATCAAGCATTTCCATGTTTGCTGAATCATCAGAACTTTCTTGATTAGCTCATCTTCTTCTCCAATATTCTTGTTCATTTCAGGGACAAGTTTGATCCATATCCTTTGCAGAATATCCTTCTTTTGCCATTGTTGGGATACAGAAATCCATGCAAATCTGTCAAAGTGGCGTCTCACACTTGGATGATTATATGCCTTAATGGCAAGTGTTGTCTTGCCTAAGCCACCCATCCCATAAATGGAAACAACTTTGTGATCTCTACCCACCAAATGTTTCACAAGCAGATCCACATCAGTCTCCAATCCAACAAAATCATCATCTTGTACAAAAGAATGTATCCGCCTTAAAAATAGTTGTTGCCTTGAACTCGAGGCTTCCTTCTCCATTACAGCTCTTACGCCATATGCTTGGAAACTGTTCTGGAGTTTGGAGATCTTTTTCAGGAGAGCTTCCATTTCTAATCCGACTTTGTGACGGAGGTAGTAATGATTCAAGATGTAAACACATCTCTTGAGAACATTTTTGAAACCTCCATCCTTCCAGGTTTCAAATTTGAAAGCATAACCTTCAAGTGAACCTTCGGCATCATAAGCAATGTCCCGAGCTTCTAATATCCACTGTTGGATCCTGTCCTTCTCAGTCATGTTTGCATCAGCATCTTTTAAGAACCACTGAATTCGTTTCAGTTCTGAATGAAGTTCCTCAGCCTTGTCCTTGACTCCATGCAAGAATTTTGCTTCTTCAATCAAAAAATTACCGATTGTTTGCACAGCAAATGATATGGCAGGATCGGCCATTTTGGGGGAAGAAAAAAAAAAATCTGAAATGCAATGAATGGCTAGATTGTGTAGCTGATAATGCTCTTTAAAATCTGTTCTTGGATGTTCAAAAGAGAGACATATAACTTTGAATTAAGGGTTGCCTTTGGTGGGAGTCTAAGTACTATAAAATAAACATAGATTAAAGACCAAAACTCTTATCCCTTAATTGTTCTTTCAGCTTCCTAAAAGTACAAACTTATCAAAATTGTTAACTTTAGCGTTACCTATTTTAGTAGCTTTTTCAGATTTTTAAAATTCTGATGATTGAACAATTGTTTTCCCATACGGCAAAACAAAGCATGTTTGAAAGAATCAAATGCCAAAATTCTACAATGTGCTTGATTAAAGAGAAAGTGGTTATGCCTTGATTGTGATCTCAGATTTTGTCAAGAATAAAAAATATTGGCTAAAGCATTAAGAAGTATTCATCTGATAGGTTTTTCTTCACTGTCTTTACAGTTGATAATGTTCTTTGCTTACTGCTTTTCCTATTATAATTAAATTTGTGTTCAAGTTTGCAGGTCTGAGCCAACAACCTGAACCCGACCCTTTTAGAAGCTGTTACCAGCCTTCCAAATGCAGCAACTAGCTTCATTGGCCGATTATTGAAAGGTATGAAATAACATCTGTAAAAGACCAGTAAGCAGGTTTTCATTGCTCTCGCCTCTCTGAATTTTGGTCTGGCGTTTCTCCAATGTTTAACAGTGATTTTAAACTAATTCCACTTAGAGCAAACTTTAAAACAAAAAATAAAAAATAAAAAATGCACTGATGTAAATGATGTTACATCTTCCTGAAATACCAATTGCGCACCTTACTACAAGCCAAAGCTTCTACAACCCATGCTAATTACTTCTTGCTAAGATCAATTCCAGCCTTCTTAGCAACAGCATCCAGTCCATTTTTCTCGATTGTCTTTATTGCCTTAGTTGATAAACGAAGTTTGACATATCGTTTCCCTGCCTCCCACCAAATTCTCTTGTATTGCAGATTAACAAACTGCAGTCTCTTTGTCTTGTGGTTTGAATGGGAAACCTTGTTTGCCCTGTTCGACTTCTTTCCCGTGAAAGGACATATTCTCTCTGAAAAATATAACAGCCAGATATATCAAGCTGCTTTTAACAAAGCCATCAAACCAGAAGACTGAAAGCACAGTGTGCTTCCTCCGTATGTTAAATAAAACAAAAATAAAAACAAAAAAAAAAGAAAATGAAAAAAAAAAACCGAAGACTGAAAATTTAAGAGGGCAAATAGGGTCAACATTAAGACAATCACTGTCAATGGGTAAGCGTAATATAGCAGTAGACAACTAGCTATCACAAGATATATCGCATCTCCATGTTACAAAGTTTTGAGACTCTACTTTCACGAGGTAAGTTTAGAATTCAACAAGACAGCATTATTAGGACACATCTCTATGGCTCAAAAATGGATGACTAGGTGAAGCATTTAGCTAAGCTATGTGCCAACAAGCCAAATGGAAGACTCTAGAAAAGCTAAACCAAAACCATATTATTGCTCCAAGATTTTAAGTGCATTCAGATGGGGTGAATCTAAATTAAAACCATTTCAAATAAAAGAAAAAATTCCAACATTCATGATTTCTCTTGGTAACTTGTAAATACTTTAAATGCAGTGACATGATATCCCAATTATGCTTTTAATCTAGTTCAGAAAGTAAATGGTGTACAGATCAACAAAAAAACTGTACCCCTTTTTAACAATTAAACCGGCATACGGTTAGCATCAACATTTGGCTTGGCATAAAGATGAATGAACTGTTGAATGGAATACTTGACCACAAGGAAATTACAGATCAAAAATTGTAATCCTAATTCCGGTAATAACTCCGTAGAAACTAGCACAAGTCAATCTCTACCTTGAACAAGTCAATCTCTCCCTTGAACAACCAAAAAAAAAAAAACCCAAACAATAAAGAAATGCATACATGATGCTTTTCATAACATCAATTACATCATTCCATTAGTTTCAGAACCTCTTCAATGAACATCATCCATAAAAAAACTACTGGTAACTGTCCAGTCATCAACATCTTTCCCTCTCCCTAAATTCTACTTCTCAAAATCAGAGATGTACAGGTTAAGAAACACCAGTATTCCTAAACCTGAGAGTCCAAAATCAACAACAAAGGGCTGGGATTCCTCAGATACTCCCCAAAACATAAATTTTGCATAAAAGATTACTGAAGGAATTAACTAAATTTCAAAATTCCTCCGCATAATAATTGAATAAATAACTTCAATTTCCAATTTTTGATGAGAGAAAACTCACTGGCAACTGGTTGCAGAGAGGGCCTAATAGAGATTGATGTTGGCACCTTAAACTCAACGGGGTTGATTGAAATCTTAAGGCCGTTCAACTGGGATGTTACAAACCCCAGCTCTGAGCTCCCTTTCGTGGAAATCTTGAGCAATGGCTTCTTCATAGCCATCGAGGCATACGGCCCCATTGCTAATCCTCCTATTGTTGCTGTAACACTTGCAGCCATTGTCGTTGGGGACGTTAGTTTGTGTGTCCCTTAGCTGATTTTCAACCTCCGATTCCGAAGTGTAATTGTCGATAAAGATACACAAATTCGGGTCTGAATCCGAATCTCTGAAGAAGGATAATGTTTGAAAGATGTTTGATAAATGTTACAGGTGCAGAGCCACTCTCGGAGCCTCTAGTTTTTGTTTATCCTTCGTTTTTTATCAGAAAACCTTTATGTTAGAAATATTTACAATTAGAGGCTTTTAGTTTTGGAAATATGAATTTACCCCTCAATTCAGGTCCAAAATTTAGGGCATAGTATTTTCTTCTTTTTTTTTTCTGGATGAATCCAAGCGACAATAAAGAGTTTAGGCTATGATTGTTCTAAAAAGGTTAAATTAAAACATAGGTAGAGTGGAGGAAAGGGATTTTTCCACCCATAAGACCATAACTATATAGGTCGACAGTTTAAAATCCGTCGTAATTATGAAATAACTTTAAATTTTTTAGCCCTATGTCTCTGAGCTTATAACTTAGAAAATGAACTAATCACTTTCCACGGCGTGCTATATAAAAATAAACAAAACATAGGTAGGTTCCATCAATCCATCAGTTTACATACATAAAAACTGAATAGAATTCTTGGTATTTATATGTGAATTATGAAAAAATGAATCACAATTCAAAACTTAAAGGAAATTATGCAAAATTGCAAGTTATTCATGTTGCTTTAAAACAATTTAAAAAATCGTGTTTGTAATTTAATTATTGTTGCCAATTGAAGGGTGATCAATTCAAAGTTGGTAGTGTTACTGTACAGTTACGGATGAGAAAATGAGAATTGTTGTGATTAACATGGGCTCCATTTTCGAGCCACATGCTCGGAAATACAGTTGAAATGGAAACAGTAAACAGCTAGAATATTTGAACCTCAGTACATCTCGAAGACACCAAAACACTAAATTTAGTGTTTTTGTATAAAGATTGCACTTCAATGAAGACACCAAATCACTGCACTATTTTGGTGGAATGAATAGTATTACACCAGATTTTGGTGTAAATTATCCATTACACTATTTTTAGTTCACTATCTTTTACTTTAATCTAAATATATGTTTGCTATGTAATTGAACTTATAAAACGAATTATGTTGTGAAAATTATATCATATTAAATATTTTGTTGAGATCTACAAAATAAGACTCATATTGAATATAAAGTTTATTTTTTAAAAAAATTAACTTTTAGTTATTATTAAAATTAAATATGAAACAAAATTGGAAAAAAATTATACTACAATTAAATAAAAAGCGATTATAAAAAATATATTTCAAAAATTATCAACAAATTACAAGATTTTAATTAATCACAAAATAAAATTTAACCTAAAACATTAAATATTTAAACTATTTGGTGCATCAAGATTGGAGATCAAAGAACTTTGCTGTAAAAAGATTCTTAGAATATTTTATTTTTATACTAAACTTTGTACAAATTATAGTAAAATAATTAGAGATGCTCTTAGATGCCAAAACAGATGAATAAACTTTTACTATGGTTATTCATTACATGTATCGAATTCCTACTATATTTCCATTTTAGTACTCCTTCCATTCTAAAATAAATGTCGTTTTGGCAAAATAGAAAAATTCTAAAATAAGTGTCGTTTTCAGATTTCAACGCATGTTTGGTCAAAAATTTCCAAATATACCCTCAAAAGAAGTAATATTATTGGGGAACATTATTTCAATAGAGTTGGTTAAAGATATTCTAGTAATTTAACTATCTTATTTGCGTGTTTCTTAAACAGTGTGCAAATTCTAAAATAACACTTATTTTGGAATGGAGGGATTACTAACACGAAAAATAGAATGAAAGCACTAAAAAATAGCTCCAATCTATGAAGGTCAATGGTAACACGTTTCCAAATGTCAGTAAGGTCATCTCCACAATCAAACATGAAAGACCAACATGACTGACATCTACTCAGACTTGTTTAGGAAACCTCCTATGGTAAAGATCGGGGTCGACGTACTCTACAGTCACAATCCGATCATCATAAAGCCGTCCATGCAAACAGTGCGCTGCGATGCACGAAGATTCTTCTCTCTTGAACTCTACCAGAACACAACCAACCTCGAAAGAGTCTTGTTCTTTATTTTGACCCTGACAAGCATGATGGGCATCCAGTTCAGAAGCTCTTGATCTTCCAACTCCCTCCGATGCTGATCTCTCAGCAGTAGCCAAATTGTTTTGCATTTCTGAGGACTCTGCTGGACGAACATCAGGAACATCACCATTGTCTACCAATTGAGCTGTTGATGTCTCAAGCTCGTTTGTGTGTCTTCTGGAACAGAGATCACCAATTTCCTTGCATGCAGTCTCTGTCTTGTTCTCATCCCTATCGCCCTCAGTTGATTGATTTTGGTCTTCTAGCACATTGTCCATAAGTTTAACAGAAGCAATGCTATTATTACTAAAAGAAGTCTTGTTAGTATCATCAGATTCTTTGAAACTGATTAAAGTTTTGTCAGATATGATTGGGTCAAAACCCGAAATCACACATCTTTTATCAGCTTCATCAACTCCCACATCCTGTGTGATGCAGTTGTAGGGCTTTGATACATTATCTTTTACAAGGTCATGGGTACTACTTTCTTGTCCCATTTCCGAATTGTATTTGTGATTCACATCAGCAACACCCGAAACAATTGTAGCAGATGCTTTCCCATTGATGCAATCATTAACGCTTTTGACGACATCGACAGCTTTGACAGTACCAAACCTGTAGTACATTTGATGATAAATGAAGCAATTTTTAAGGATTTTTTAAAACAGATAATGGAAAAACAAATTCAAGAAGTTTATCACTTGATCTTCTGTTTTCCAACCTGGCACACTCCAACTTAACGTCTTCTATAATCTCTTCCAGTTCAGTCTCAGACATCATTGAGATCCCTTCAGAATCTAACTGCAAATTAAACAAATGATAAGAGAATAATGCATCTCATGATTCAGTGCATGAAGGCAGAGGAAAACCCAGTATGGAAAAAGCATCAAGGCTAGGAAATAGAAAAACAAAAGCAATGCAAATTGAATCGCATGTAGTCATGTACCATATTTTTTAGCTTCAAAACTGGGGTAGGTGACTTCAAAAGTGGTTTTGCATGCTCGGGGATCCCATAGAAAGGCCTCCGATCAACATCCTCCTGAGATAAGGATACCAAATCAAGTAAAGAAACTTCAAAATGCTCCAAGCAGAAAAGCCTATCATGAAAGTAACTATTACCAATGATGGAATATCTGGAGTAGCCTGTACAACAGTCAGAACTTGTCCCCCCAACTTCAGGCCATTAAGACCAGCGCATGCTTTTTGAGTAATCAAATGGTCTACATACTGAAGCAGTCGAAATTAATAATTTTGGATACTGAATATTTTGTTTCTTCACTAGGAAATATGTGCAACAAGCAACACTCAAATATAAGATAAACAAGATTGGTTGTCAAATAGCCCAATCGTACAAAATTTTTTATTAGCTGCAAATGTATCATGGACAACAGAGTAAAAATAAAAACAAAAAGAAAAAAGATTTTTGCACTGAAGTGAACATAAAATTGCCTAGAAGCAGTTCAAGGTTTTTAAGGATATTCAACTTCATTGATTAACGTGTAACAATATATTGGACATACCTCAAGGAAGGCATAATGTACATCAATGCCCTCATTATGCACAAAGTGGAATGCCTTCAAAGATCCAAATGATTCAGCAATCTTCATAAGCTGAAAGCAGTACCAAAATGCCAACTTAGCAAATGGTCGGATATTAAAAAACCAGTTCTTACAATTTCATCTTACCATTTTAGACGAAATCAGCTTTGAAATTCCACCAATAAATATCTGAAACATGTAGGGAACCTTCGGCGTGAGAATATGTCTATAAGAAAATCAAATGGTACTCAAACATCAATAGAACCCTCATCTATGTAATCTGCAGCTGAGTGTAGAAATTATTACTCTTCTTGAATAATATCCACATATGTGATGATCCTCTTTGTTTCTTTATTTATTTAATTTTTCTAGTTTGTTTGGAAACAATAAGTTGAGAACAAAAACAAAAGATGCAATGCTCCTATGAGAGAAAATGACAGAACTTATATTGAATGACAAAGAAATAGTGCTTACCTTATGGCTTGTATCCTCAACTTTGTCACTTATCGAATGAGTTTCATTCACGGTGTTGGCATGAACGGCAGTCTGCATGAAAATAGCAACTGACTGAAAACCTGCTAGACATCAACGATCATCTCATTCAAAAGACAATAATGGAACAACACCAAATATCCTTAATAATATCATTAAGGTATAATTTCCATAACATCTTGCAGATACTAAATCTAGAATTTAAATAAAAGCACCTTCATCTCGGGACTCTGTTAAATTTCACACCTACAACACCTGACTAACTGTCGACTACATCGAAAGAATAATTGGAGGAAAAATGAGTAGATGATAAATAAGTAGTGTCCCAAATACAGATGACCCAGGTTCAAAATTTTAACAAACCGACAATGCAAAAATAACAGCAATGAAAAGCTATTGAAATATCATGCTTGTAGAATCTTTTACGAGAGAACACAAAATAACCAAAGAAGAAACAGAAGATTCCAGAATCTTATAAGTTATGATCACAAGATAATCTTATGTTTAGTTTCTTACGACCTGTAAAAGAACTATCATTTAATAGCTAAAGAGATATTAAGAGCATTCAGATGAAAAAAAGTTGTGAAGAAAGCTTAATTAGTTCATAGATAGAGTTCTTACAGTTGGTTCAATGAAGTCCTTGGGCCGCCTAATCTTTAGTAGAGACCCACAAAACAATTTGCCATCCATAGAAAGTGCTGCTGATGCATCTTCGGGTGTTAGGAATTCAAGAAGAGCTTGGTTCTTCTCCTTGTTTATCTGCAGTGCACACAAATCAAGGCTTGAACACACTGATACATCCGAGACCAAATTAATAATAATATCCCATTTCCTGGAAAAAAAGAAAAGACAGGATAGAAGTAAAAAATTGGAAGCTGCTCATCTTAAAAGCAAAGGTAAGAACCCTACCATGCAACTAATACAGGGGAGAGTTCCTTTAATATGGTTTACACCTGAAGAGAGAAGGAAGTTATTGACACATTCAAGAACAGTTTTCTCTGATGCGGTAGACGGTAAATTTTCTACATAAAGCCTTCTCAGTGGCCTTGTTGCTTGAGTTAATTGTATGGAATCAATTGCATTAATCTGAGAAGATGGCGTGTACTGCAAATTTAAACCAGGCTTCACTACAACTGAAGTGTCAAGAATCATACTGGCAAGATTTGCACCATAACCTTTAGCAGCTTGGCTTGCTGACTGCACATCAGAGGCAGAAGAGCTATTAATGCCCCCCTCCTTTCGAGTAGCTGGATGGTCCCAGCCAGCAGTTCTATGTTCTGGCGAGCGATTAGCAGGGGAAGGAGTCTTAGCAGCAGCCTCAGTTTTCCTCTTTCTCGGTGAATAGCCACCAAGCCCACTAGAAGAACCACAATACCTTCTTTGATTGCCATCTGAGCCATTGCTCGATATCCTCCTTTCAGTATCAAAATGTTGTTTTTGATATTTATCTTTAGAAGAATAGGACTTGTCACTAAGTGACATGCGCTTACGTGTTCTTGGTGAAAGAGAAGAAGATCTCCTGCTTCTGTCTTTATTATGTTCTCTGCTTCCTGACCTCCTTTTCCGCCTTGATTCTTCATGATGATTTATTGATGGGCCTGTTTCTTTCCTTTCCAGGACCTCTGATGATTTGTGCATATCATGCTCGCTAACATGGGAGTTTCGTGTCTTCTCTTTGCCTTCAACTTGATGTTTTCTCCTGCTGTCTTCATCTAATACTCGTCTACCCGTATCTGCATATTTATCTGTCCGATCTGAAGCTTTTTTCTTATTTGGTTCATTTTCATACTCATGCCTTGACTGGTCAATATCTCTTCCCCTGCTGTAAATACGTTTGTTGTCGCCATCAATACCTTGCTTATCTACTCTTTCATTTACAGATTTACCATGAGTCTTTCCTCCAGATATCTCATTGCGGCTACGATCTCTAAAACGCTTCTGACCAGATTTATCTCTAAAGTCTTCATCTGTACGATCACTTCTCTTCCTATTCTGTACATCTCTATTGGCTTTGCCTCTAGGGGTGTCCTTACGACTAAGATCTTTCGTTAAAGTGGTATTTGATTTGGTTTTGAGGTTCTGCTCTTCTCTAGATTTATCCTTTTGCTTTTCTAGTTTTCCTTGCTCAACTCCATGTAAATTAAGCTCTCTACTCTTTGAACTGAACCTCCCTAAATCCTCGGTAGGAGACCTTGAACCTCCACCAAAAGATTGACAATTTCTATCCGCATCTGTTTCCGAAACATCTAAAGAAGTCTCAATATTGAAATCCCTAGTTTCAGAGTCTCCCAAAGCACCATGAAGCTCACCAGCTTTCTTGCTCTTCCTTCTAAGCATTATGTCCTCAAAACTAAATGGCCTCGTTCGAGCAGAAGTACCCTCGTTACAATGCACCAGGGATACCTCACTTTTGATTTGATATTTCAATTTATGGTGACTGGATCTGCTCATGCTGCTTTCTATGATTTCTTCAGATAAAGAATTCCAACTTTCTAGGAAAGTACCAAGGCTTTCATACTATCATGAGGATTATACGAAGCAGATGCATAGTGCCACCCTGAAAGTTACACTTAGTAAATAAGATGAACCATATCAATGCTCAGATTGTTACAGTGAAGATTAAAACAAGATGGCATTTTAGAGTCACAATTTACAACTTTGATACACTGACATTTTCCACCTAGGTTAAAAAAAGAAAGAAAGAACATTTTTTCAAATTCAAGCGTCAAAGTTTTTAATGGAGAAAGAAGGATCTGTAACAATCAAATCTTTGCAATCTGAAAGAAGGAAGGATTTTAATACAGTTCCAAACATCATACACTCTCAGGCCTCTTGTAAATATTCTTTCATTTAAATCTAAGTGGATTCTCCTTGTGCACTTCGACATGAAAAAAATGCAGAAACAAGTCTAGTAACCAGCTCAAACACAATAAGGGCTGAGAATTTTCCCTCACACTAATCACCAAAAATAACTTCACCAGTCCACTTCAGAGCATAAATGAAGGGCTAAAACTCATTTCCATTACAAAAGACACAGAAAAAAAACTATTCCCACGTGCCACTTCATATAAAGTAAAACCATTGATCAAAAGCTAAGGTTCAGAGACAGCAAATTTCCTAATCGGTGACCTACAACCAAGTGGCATGTGCATACTCGTATGTCTGCATTCACCGATTGAACCTAAAACCCTGATGCAAGATACTCAACAAGTAGGCATCTAGCTAACATTTACATAATCCTGATCCTACTAAATGCACTAATCCGTTTAGAAAACCTGATCCTAGATATAAACCACATTAAAACTACCCTTCCATGTTAGAATTCAATTGCCCCAAAAAGAAACACAAAAATTGGAAGATTGACAAAATGGATTCACGGTTGGGCCGCAACTTGTAGGTTATCGCGGAAAAAGAAAATGTAAGGCAAGAGTTTGAACATTTAAGTAAAACAAAAAGGCAAATAGAACCATCAATCTTCTCTACTCTTCACTTCACTAATATTTCCTTCATCATACTCTGCCATATTCTACAATAATTAACTTTATCAAGTTACTATTTGTATCAGAAATAAACCACTACATAGTCACCATTGATCCTACATGAAACAACCACACTTTCAAACTCGTAAACCCCAAACGATGCAGACATTTAAAGGGGCACTAGCACAATCAATTCCCCTTCCCCACCACCCAAACTCAAAAAGAAATTAAAAGAAAATCTAAAACTTTTGTGAATCCCATTGAAGAGTTTTCATTTTCAAATTCACCCAATAAACATCTGGTCATTCACTCATAACAAACTACAAGAGTTACACACATCTCAATAGCAAATTCCCATTTTAAAACTATTCCCACCTAAAAGTCCTTCAATTCCTGCGGTCATCGGTGAACTTAAGAACTCAAGCACAATTTGAAAGTGTTAAATGTAAACAGTAAAACAGCAACTGGTTGTATAACAGGAATCCTTAGAGAGTGAATATGAGACTAAAACAGAACAAGAAAAGACGGGACAGAATCCGTTCACATTGGAAACGGTAAAGTAAAAAAAAAAGTTCACCTCTTCCGAAAGCGCACAGGGCAAGCCAAGTAGGTCGCCGGAGGTATGCCGGAGATACGCCGGAGATAGTGGAAGAATAATTGAAGAACAAAATGCAAAAGCTATCTAAAGGGTTAAACGGAACGCTGTGGAATAGAAAACCTAGTCGGAGATTATAGGCTGTGCTGGTGGCGGAGGAGGAATTAGATTTTATCACCGACCTAAATGACTATTTTGCCCTTTTTTTGAAAAAACCAAAAAACAGATACCTAAAGGGAAATTGATAATCTCATATTCATACTTGGTTTCAACTTTTTCCCACATTAACTAAAGCATATATAAACCTTTAACCATTCCACAAAATTACATCGTTTATTATTAAAAACCTTTCCATCTATCACAGTTAGGTGTGGGATCCGAGTCGACCAACGAATTAGTCGGGGCAAAGCTCCGAACACCGTGGCAGACAACCAAAAAAAAAAAAAAAAAGCCTTTCTTCCTCTCCTTCTTTCCTTAATTCCTTCCATCGACCAGGAAAAAAACAAGACGATGGAGGCGAACATATTACAGTTGCCTGAAGAAATCATTCATCAAATACTTTCATACCTCACAACCGAAGAAACGACCCGATTAAGTACCGTATCCAAGCAACTGCGAATCGCGGTCCTCGAGCGTCCTGCTTTTGTTTTGGATCTTCAACAATCGAACCCGAAAAAATACAATGATTTACTTGATTATATGTTGTCTACTCTGGAACGGTACGATAAGCGAAATTTAGGTCTAGACAGCTTTACACTGAAGACTGATAAGCTTTTCCAAGGCCAGAGTATTGATATTCATAACAAATGTATTGAGTTAGCTACGAGAAGGCGTTTGAGAAGCCTTAGTCTGTCCATCGCCAGGGGCCACGGCGGGTTGCCTTTGTCGGTTTTCGAGGTGAAATCGTTGGAGCAGTTGAGCTTGAGCTTACAGGATTGTGTACTGAAACATCAAGCAGGGAAAAGGATAATGTGGCCGAGACTTAAACAACTGAACCTGGAAAATATAGTTTTCGAGTTAGGGGAGGAGAAGTTTCAGGGTATGATTCAGGGGTGCCCTGTTATTGAAACCCTTAAACTTAAGGATTGTAATGGGCAATCTGAACCCATATTTTGTTTCAGAATTGCCAATCTTCAAAACCTGAAGGAACTTGATGCTGAATTGTTACCCGATCAAACTCTTGAGGTGAATGGAGTACCGAATTTGGAATCTGTGAACTGTTCTGGGTGTGAGAATGAGTACTACAATCGTCTGCTTAGATTTCCTGACCCCGAATACAGAAATCTCCGAAGGTTAACCCTGTTTGGTGTGAGTATAGATGAGGACACTTTCGCCGATCAGACGGATAAATTCCCTCAGTTAGAAGAATTATCAATCGTGAAATGCCAGTTCTACATCAACAGTTTGAATATAACCAAGTCTTCCCTGAGGAAAATACAGCTGATAGATGTCTACGGGTTGCGTACGGCTCACTTTGATGTTACTGGCAATAACATTGGCCTTTTCGAATTTGAGAACTGCATAAGTGAGAATTTACCTAAATTTTCATTTACAGGTGTTTTAGATGGATGGATTTATGGAATCAAATTGGGAGGCGATATCGCCATGGATCACTCATGGTGGGTTGAAGTGAAGGAATTCTTGAGACAATTCAAAGCCTCTCAAACTTCGATCACTTTTGACTTCGGAGATGATTTAGACTTCGACGTGACAACATTTCCTGGAGGCGAACAACCTGAAACTCGAGAGGTTTTTATAGAGAATGAGCCGTGGGGGCAAGAACCTGCTCGTGCTAGTCTTCAAGGTATCCTTTGGATTCTTCGTCCTCAAAACATAAAATTGAAATATAGTGGACACAACATGTTCCCCGAGCTGCTATTTGATATGTTGATATTGAAAAGCGACGATGATCTAGGCGGCGGTCTTATAAATTTCCCATTGTGGGACGTGACAAGTATGGAGATTTTCCGACATTTTGAAATTAGCCAACGAGCTTGCTATGATAATTCCGGAAAAGGAAGAGGCTTTCAGCTGCCTCAACCATGGATCAGAGAGGAATTTCTGAACTCGTTAGAAGCATATGGTGAAGGTGCCATATTTAACTTCAATCTAAATTGGAGAAGTAATTGCGAGGTTAAAACTTGCTGATCCCACGAAGAAGTGACAGCAAGAGGAGGATAAAAACAAATTTAAAGGCTGTTTCTCTACAAATTACAGTGGACAGTAATCTCATGGTGTGTGCATATAGTTTTTGTGCTAGTTTTTTTTTTGCAATGTAAATTTTATCAATTAAAAGATTTATAGAGATTTTAGTAACTTCAATTTTGATTATTTTGTTTTTTTTTTTTTTGGTATGTAATTACTATTAACGAGATACTCCTCTATCCCGAAAAATTATTTCAAATTGTGTTTTTTCGACTTTATATTATTTTAGAACAAACCTCAAAATTTAACGCGAAACTTCTTTTTAGTCCAAGTAAAAGTAAGGTCGTGGATTTAAAGTAAAACAGGTTTTACATCTGAAGCAGGATATTGTCTATGGTGATTTACCTTTTATTTGGGTGTGGGTTTTACCTATCTGCAGTGACATTATCTGCATTGCACGAAAAGAGAACTGGTCGTTCCAGCGACATTAGGCCATAATTATCAAAATCAGGGGTTGTTACCTTGGTCGTTTTATGGTCGTTCCAGCTACATCTCGGTTTGTTGGGTTGAGAAAGAATATGGCAACTGAAAGATTGAAGATATATAACAAAAGTTGCATAGGCTATATACAATTTAGCTCAAATTTGTACATAACTATTTTATAAAATTGCTATTACTGAAAAAAAAAAAGAAGCTATCATATTAAAAAGTAGAAGGAAATCGGAAATCAGAAAACTTTTCGTATATATATATAATATATATGTGTGTGTGTGTGTGTGTGTGTTTTAAATCCTGACTTGTATAATCAGACAGTCTCCGAAATTGTCATCGGAAACAGGACAGAGGGTCATCGGGTTTTGCTTCAAGTTGTCGTCGCCGCACGTTGAGGGGTCGTTGGAAATCGGACGGAGGGTCATCTGTGTTAACTTGCAAGTTATCCATCAGAGAAGCTCATCGTTGATAATAACAACACTACTGTTAAGGTAATTAAATTAGAAACTAAAGCCATGGTGAACTTCACAGAATTGCCAGGAGACATTGTTCATCAAATCCTTCATTGTCTTGAAGGAAAAGAACCCATTCGTTTAAGTATATTATCAAAGCAGATCTGGAACGCCGTGCGGACAAGCCCCTCTTTGGTTTTCGATTTCGAATCGCATCAGTGGTATCCCGAAAGAAACGTAGGAAGAGGGGATTATTTGTTGGCCACTTTGATTAAGTACAAAGAGGAAAATATTGTTCTGGACACTTTGAGGCTAACGGAATGTGACTGCCAATATGATCCCGAGTGGGAGGAGCTTTATCATCAATGTCTGGAATTAGCGACGAAAATCGGTTTGAGAAACCTAGTGCTTGGCCTCCGTTCCTCTGATTTTCCTTCATCAGTTTTCCAAGTTAAAACATTGGTGCAGTTAGGTTTATTGGTGGTTTTTTCGCCGAAGATGAACAGAGTATCGTGATAATGTTGCCCAATCTCAAAAGACTAGGTTTTCAAGAGATATATTTCCGACCAGCGACATTTGAGAGTTTCATCAGGGGCTGCCCTGTTCTGGAAATCATGAAGACTATTCATTGCTGTCGTCGAGATTGGTTACCCGGAGAACCCAATTTCAAGATCACCGGTCCTCAAAACCTCCGGCAACTCAAACTTGAGTTACTTTCAGGTCAAAAGGTTGAAGTGAAGGCATCACAAAATCTGGAATCTATGACAATTGGGATTTGGGAATCAGGGAAATGTTGGCTTCATTATCGTGAATCCGACTACAAAAATCTCCGAAGATTGATCCTGTGTGGAGTGGGAATCGACGACACATTTTTCGTCTACTGGATGCATAAATTCCCACAAGTTGAAGAGTTATCAATCGATGGTTGCCCAGACATTCGAAGAATCAATATATCGAATTCGTCCCTGAAGAAGACACAACTGATGAACCTGTTCCTATTGGACGAGGCTCACTTTGGTGTACCTTGCAACAACAGCATTGGACGTTTTGAATACGAGAACTACAGCTTCTTTAGTGGGAATTTTCCCAAATTATCATTAATTGGTGTTTTAGATGGATGGATTTCTCGCATCAAATTACTTGTCGAGTTCAATGGGGATAATTCATGGTGGATAGCATTGAGGGAATTATTGACCGCGCTCAAAAGGTCTCAAATTTCCATTACTGTTTCATTCGGTAGGAATGTGAGGTTCGACACAACAATATTTCCTGGAGGCCAACAATTACCGGACATTCCAGAGTTTTATGCAGAAGATATAGAGAGGCAATCATCATCTGCTCGCGCAATCCTGCAAGGTATCTTTTGGATTTGTCGTCCTAAAATCCTGTCATTCGGACTTGGGGTACATTACAGATGTTCCGAGCTGCTTTATGATATGTTGGTATTGAAACATGATTATAATCTGGATGGCCATCCAGATTTCCGGAAACCTAAGTCATGGAACGTGACTGTTATCGAGATCTTCCGGATTTTTGAAAATGCCCAAGGAACTCGCTACGAACGTGGTAGTGTTCAGGTGCATCAACCATGGAACAGGAAGGAATTTCTGAAGGTGCTAAAAGCTTACAATGATGGGGGCTTTGATAAGCACGACTGGAAACCTACTCTGCTTTCCTTCAACTTAGAATGGAGAAGTAACTGTGAGACTGTGACCTGATCCCTCGAAGATGCAACCAGATTGGAAATAACATTAGTTTGCTAGTTTTTTCTTGCTAAGTAATGCACAATTAAAACGGTGGTTATTACTTAATGTGATTTAGTAACTTCACTTTAATTTTGTTTTCTTTATCTCCCTCCGCAAAAAAACTCTTCTATTACAAATACAACTAGGTGTCAATCTATTCAAGTACATGGATAGGAAGTAGGTTTTGTGTAAATTGGTTTTTTTTTTTTTTTTTGAAGTTTATGCATTTTATTTTAATCAAAGTAGATAGAACCCGGAGGTTTAAGAAGGCACATAACCTATAAATGAAAGAATTCAGGATTGCATAAAAAAAATTTAATCTTCAAACTACAATTGTAGTTCCCAAAATCGGGCTTAATTCTCAGGAGTTTCAAATTCACAAAGTACAAAGACTTGCAGTTCCAATCGCACTGGGAAATAAAGTTTAAGGTACTGTAGTTAGCTGGAAACCGGAAGAGAGAGATTTGTGATAATTAATGTGGCATAATCTCTCAAACGACTATCTTTCCAACGAGTGGAGTTTTGAGGGGCCTTGCTTGAAATCATAGAGACTGTAGTCCTGCGTAGATTTGATCCAAAACAAATTTGATTTCAAATTTACTTGTCTTCGTAACTTTAGGCAACTCAATGCTATAGCTAAGTAAGTTCATTTCCAGGCAACTGTTTGAAGTAAAATGCATTGCCAAAAATGTGGAATCTTTAGCATGTACAATTGGTGTACCATATACGGAAGATGTACAAATGCTGATTGCTGGCTTCAGTTTGGTTAATATGATACCAAGATCGTCGTAGTTTGACCCACGTATGCTGTGGAAATTGTAAACTCCCGCAACTTGAATCAATTCAAGATTGCGAAATCCTAAAAGTATACCAAGTTCATCACTGAAAATCTTTGCCACCGCCATATCTAACCTAGCTAGTACTAGTATTTTTTTTTCACGTATATTTCAGGAATTAAAAGAAGTCGCTGCCAATTTCTTGTACCCCTCTCGGAATTTTTTTTATTGGTATGAACAGACTTAGGTTGAAGAGTATTGCTGAAAAACATCTCTATGGTAGTGTGTTTTAGCAATACCATTTATTCCTTTGGTTCTTTCTACCATCAAAATTCGAAAGCCCGGAACTAAAGCAATGGTAAAGCTAGCAGAATCGCCGGAAGATATTGTTCATGAAGTCCTTCGTTATCTTACAGCCGAAGAAGCCATTCGTTTGAGTATATTATCAAAACAGATTCGGAACGCCGTGCGCACAAGTCCCTCTTTGGTTTTCGATTTCCAGCCAATTTGGATTTCGGAAGGAAACATAGGAAAAGGTGATTATTTGTTGTCCACTCTGAATAGGTACAAAGAAGAAAATATTGTTCTGGACCCTTTTAAGTTAACAGACTTTAAATTCAGTCATTGTAGCCACTTGGACAAGCTTTATCATCAATTTCTGGAATTAGCACTCGAAATCGGGTTGAGAAACCTAGCGGTTGACCTCTGTATCTTGGCTCCATCAGTTTTAAAAGTGAAAACGTTGGTGTAGTTAGAAATATTACATGGTCGATTGTACAAACTGGAACAGGGTTCCGTGATAATGTTGCCCAATCTCAAAAAACTGCGTCTTCAAGAGCTAAATTTCCTACCCGGGACATTTGAGAGACTAATCAGGGGATGCCCAGTTCTTGAAATCATAGAGATTATTCATTGCTCTTGTCCAAAAGACCGATGGGATGTTTGGGATCGTTTCTCCAAAAAATTTGATTTCAAGATTACGGGTCTTCAAAACCTCAGGCAACTCGAAGTTCAGTTACTTCGAGATCAAACGGTTGAAGTGAACGCATCACCAAATCTGGAATCTATAACATTTCGGATGACGAGGGGAGCGTAATGGCTTAATTACTGTGAATCTGACCACAGAAGCCTCCAAAGATTGATCCTGTTTGATGTGGAAGTGGGAATCGACGATGCATTTTTCGTCGATTGGATGCATAAATATACGCAACTTGAAGAGTTATCAATTCATGGTTGCCCAAACCTCCAAAGAATCAATATTTTGAGTTCATCACTAAAGAAGATACAACTGGTAAACATCCAATATTTGAGGAGGCTCAATTTAGTGTACCTAGCAATTGTAGTGGATTTTTTTTATTTCCGCACAAGGGATAATATACCCAAATTATCATTTACCGGTGTTTTAGATGGATGGATTTCTCGTATCAAAGTTTCAGTTCAGTACTACGTGGATGATTCTTTGTGGGTAGAATTGGAGGAGTTCTTAACTGCAGTCAAAGGATCTCAAATTTACATCACTGTTAGCTTTCTAAGTGATTTGGTATCCGACATTGCTACTATGACAAATGACTCTGTCACAACATTTCCTGGAGGTGAAAAATTACCCAACATTCGAGACTTTTATGTACAAGAACTACCGCAGGCATTATCATCTGTTCCTGCAATTCTGCAAGGTATCTTTTGGATTGTCGTCCTCAAATCATATCATTCAGAAATCGGGCAGTTTACAACTATCCCAAGTTGCTTTATGATATGTTGGTGTTGAAAAGTGATTATCATCTGGACAATGATTCATATATCCAGATACCTAAGTTGTGGAATGTGACGGGTACCTGAGATCTTCCTGGTTTGTGATATTTTCCAAGAACATGGCCATCATGACTACCACAAAAAGGGACCAGGTTTTGAGTTTCATCAACCATGGAACAAAAAGAAATTTCTCAAGGCATTAAAAGGTTGTAATGATGAGGAAGGTTAGCGATCCACTGTAATGTGCTTCAACTTAGAAAAGGAGAATTGAATTTTCAGATTGCTAAGTTGTGGAACGTAACAGGCACTGAGATCTGCCAGCATTATGATGATCTCTTCCGCTACTCCAAAAGAGCACAACGCTAGCAGTTCCAACCACAAAGCACTATCTAAACACAGAGGCTTCAGTCAACTGAGTTGTTGATTCAATATTTATTATGCTTAATCTAATTAAGATATCTGACTACTTTGGTTATCTGAACAATCACAAACATACTATGTTGTTATAGATTTTATAAACTCCACAATCATTTTGTTTTATCTTTCCTTGGCGGGCTCTACTATAACAACTCTATCTTAGTATCTTTCATTTCATCCAATAGTTTCTTTCCAAACTATTATGCTAATGCCTAAATGAATCTGAAACTTTGGATTCCTACACAAACTTCTCGCTAGAAGTCATCGATACTCGATACAGCTACTTGGCGCAGAATGTTCTGTTTGTACAACTGTTTACTTCACTCTTGTGCGGACACTGTATAAGACATTCAGAAATCCATTCAAACTATCCGATAGAATCAAGCACATTCTATGCCTTGTTATTTCATAAACATTCTATTATACAATCATAAGGTGAGTAAAAGCCAGGGTCAAGGGGGCTTAAGGAACCACACAACCGAGCGCAAGCTGCGAGGTAGTTTCCCTAAATTCTACCATTTGCAGTTAATATAGTATAATTTAGCAAGAAAACAAACAGAAACTTCATTAAACATATCCGATGGTAACAGGTACTTTTACATGAAAAACAATGATTTGATCAGAGTACTCTCGGAGGCCAAAAGCATTATTATCGGAGTAGCTTATTTAGAACAACACCATGATTTGTTCAACTTCCTGATGGTCTAACTCTTGACACCATATGCTCCGATTTCTGACCAACAAAACAAAACATTAGAAACCTGTTGATCTATAATGCAGACACAGGAAAATGGATTGATGCAATAGTGACCTCTCATAGTTTATTGCACTAAAATGTCAATAAATATAAAGTGAGTTCTCTATCAATCTTTAGGAATTTTAAGAGCATTATAATTCGTATTCAGAATTTTTCAAACGTGATATCACACAAATTGTTGTGCAATGGGCAACCCGAGAAGGTGACAAATCAAAATGATCAGAGAGAGGAAAGACCAAACTAGTTAAGCTACCCCATGAAGTGCAGGAACTAGGTTAAAGATAATAATCATCCAGATTAATATAACAAAGAGAGCCTAAATCCGTAGTCGAACACAGAAAAACAAACACACGAAAAGCAAAAATGGTGTTTCAAATACTGCAAACAGATATGTAAAGATACCAGAACTAACCTGCTCGGTATGTGGCAAGTACTTCCCATCAAAAGTCACTACAACACGATCCTTGCCATCAACACCTTTAACTTTGTCAACAGAACAGAAGAAGTCTATAGCTGACATGCTGAAAAATAGAAACATCAAGGTGATTAATCATCCATAACGCGCCAAGCTTCTAGTTTAAGCATCTTGATCGGAGAGACTTACATTCCATCGCCAAATTCCTCATTAATAATCTCTTTAATGCTCTCTCCAAAATGCATAACAGCTTCATTTAGTCTGTAGCCAGGAATTCAAAGCTTCGTTTAATGTACTATACATTTGCTTAAACATATTCTTCCACACTTGAGGCCTTTCGCTGCTTTTTACTTATCATATGCAATAAATCAAATACAAAGTACAATATGCTAGAGTTGAGATATTAACATTTCTACCCATCTCAACAAGTTCCAAAGGAAAAAAAAGAGACAAGTTTGCAACAACTTTTACAACGTTGATGGAAATGGTACAAGGAGTAAACAAAATGAAAATTACTACTGTATTTCTTTATCAACCTCTCCCTTCTCAAGCTTATCAAACTTCTATACATATCAAATAATGTATTAATATTTCTGCAATTAATTCACTCACTTGCAAATTATTGCAACCAACAAATTAACTGTGCATAAACAAACCAAATTTTCTCAGCATAAACAGCAATCATCAACCAATATGCACCGATAAAACAGAGAACACGGTCAAACATACAGAAAAAATCGACCCAAAATGAAATTAGACAATCAGCAAGACAGCAACAGAAACAATTCAAAAAACACGGGAAAAAGAAGAAATTTTTGATAAAGGGTCACCTATAAACAGTGGGATCTTGAATTAAATTGGGCTCATAGGATCTAAGAGGAGCCAACATCATTTCGTGAACCAATTGGTCAGAGAGCCCAGGCAGAGAAGCTTTCAACTTTGGGGCGGTTTCAGGCTTCAATTGAGCTTGGCGTCTCAATAGCTGAGCAACATAAACATTAGTCAACCCAGTTTCTTCAGCAATCTGATTATAACTCTTGCCTGAAGAACGCTTCACTTCTTGAAGAGCAGCAACTATGCCTACTTTCCTGCTTAGTTCTGCCATCGCATTATTTTTAGTTTTTTTCCTTTTGCTTGATTCTTTTTTTTTTTTTTTTTTTTGATGTTTTTTGCTTGATGAAACAGAACAGAAAAGAAAGACAGAACAAAAATGACCACAGGTTCTTTTCTTAATAAGATTTGACTTTTGAGTGGTTGAAATGGCCGGCTTTGGGCTCAAATGTGTGTTCTTTATTCATGAATGAATAAAATAATGTTTCAGATGTTTTATGGTTTGTGGCCTCAAATGTTGAGAGATTAATGGAATTAGATTTTTTTGAGCCCAATTGTTGTCTTTGGGCTCAAATTGTTGTATGTGACGGTTGATCATGGGTAAAAATGTTTCTACAAAATGAAGATAAGAGAACGTAGAAGAAATCTGCTCTCACAAAACTGTGCATTGGATGGGTGTTTATCTACTATTACCACCCCCGTCTCCAACAAAAATAGTTTTCATTGAATTTTATAAATTTTAAAATATAATTTGCATTAAATACATTACAAAAATAATTCATATTAAGTTTTGAAGTTTGTTCTGAATATAATACAAATTTCAAAACTCAATATGAATTATTATTTTAGGATCACAATAATGCATAAACATAATCGAAACAGAAAAAAAAAAGTATTTTTTTTAATTTATTTATTGGATGGTTGCTTATCTACTAATTTCATGAAAGAGGATCATTCCTTTCTTGCTTGTTATTTATCTTCTTCTTCTTCTTCTTCTTCTTTTTTTTTTTTTAACGGGATTCAAAATGTTGTGAAATTCAAATATTAATTGTGATATATATACATATGCAATTAGATATATACATATTAATTGTGATATATATACATATGCATACAATATATACAGTAGAACTTCTATAAATTAATAGTGTTGGGACCACTAAAATTTATTAATTTAGTGAATTATTAAATAATCTATAAAATTATAAATTATTAATTTAAAGAATTTGTATGAAAAAAAAAAGAATTTTCCCTAAATTACTTAATTTGCGATTTTCTTTGCATCCGAATCAATCAAGTATCTAAATATTAAAAATCCATACATAGTTCATTCATCTCCAGAGACTAAATATTAGGTATTACTAATTCATATTTTACTAAATATTTATAGTCATTAGTATTTTTTTTTGTTTTTTAGGTATTTATTAATTTATGGTATTGTTGGGACCTATAGATATACAAGAGATTTTCTGAAACATTATTATCTTATCATTTTATCGATTTTTTTTTTCAGTTTTTGTACTGGTCCCAAGTTGGGACCGTAGAAAATTATTAATTGTTAGAAGTTATTAACTTATCGATTATTAATTTACTGACGTTCTATTGTAGAAGATTACATATGCAATTAGATTACTACTCCCCTTGTCCCAAAATTATTGTCCAATTTGAAATTGTACTTTTGTATAATTTGAACTAGAAATAAAAATTCAAACTGGACTATAATTATGGGACGGAGGGATTATTTTAAAAATATACCCGAAATTGAAAAACCATTTTAGGATAAAAGGGATTTTTTTTATTCCTTTTACAATTCGTAATATATATGTTAAAATAACTACCACAAAGTATTAAATGGTTTTTCTTATAAAAAATTTATTTCCCATTTCTTATTTTCTTACTGATGCTTACGTTTCATACGAATATTCATTCGAACAGGATAAAGTCTCTTTCGAGATGTTGTCATGATATAAGTATTATACTTCCTCTGTCCCAAAATTATTGTCCAATTTGATATTTCACTTTAGTACAATTTGAACTAAAAATGAAAACTCAAACTGGACAATAATTATAGGACGGAGGGAGTACTTTTTGGTATTCATACAGCCAATGGTCAAAAATTCCAAGATTCATCAAAGTTACGTTTGAAAAAAAATTGTTGATTTGCATGGAATCAATGACATTACTCATTAGCTCTCTACGTACGTCTTGTTAATTATAAACCCCTTTTTCGTTGAATTACTTGTTCGTCATTAATGCATTCTTTGGGCAATATTCAAAGTGAAATTTGATTCGTCAATTATGACATGTACATCCATAATAATTTGATTATAACAAGTTTCATTTAATTATTATTAAGGTTAAAGTATTATATAATACCGTATTCATCCGAAAAATGGCAAAAACCTATATCATCATTAGTCTATAATTTGACTTCAACTATCCAAAGAATTGTTCCAAACGAAGATGACGACTAATAACAATGATGTCCTCCTACTTGCAACGAATAGTGCCCAGTGCCCACAATTTTAAATAAGCATTTCCGCAAAGTATTCTCGCGCGCGTGCATTGCCGATAGCAATCAAATATGAACAATGGACCATATATATATACCATATATATATATGTATATAAATTCAACCATATGTATATACGGACAATTTGAAGAAGTCATTTTCGGACCATTTTTCTTTATCATTTGCTGCCTCCCTCCCAATAACATCAATTGGACATATATATGGAATAGAGATAAAAACAAGAAGCAACTTGTGGATAATACAAGTTCACAATTAATTGGAAACTTTGAATTCTGTGTCATATATATGTCCATAGGAAGGGCTCAACTGAAACTCAAGTCAGTGTTTAAGATGATAAGTATTAGAAAATATGTCTATAATATGTTGATATATATATATATATATATATGTATATATAGTCCACTGTTGTATTAAAGTGATTTGACATTGTTTGAAACATTTGATTTTGGATTTGGAATTTTTTTCTGGCTAGCATACGTAGCTAACATGGTGCTTGTGACTTGTGAGACGAAATATGTAATTCATTTTGCAATTCATTCGGAATATTCAGTCAACGGAGGAGTTTACTTGGAATTTTCAATCTTTTATTTAGACTGTGTATTATGAATTATAAGAAATTAGTTAATGAAAAATTGATGTCATGATCAATTTATGTGAAAAATATTAATGATTCGAGTGGGCTTTTCCAACAAAGATTCGCCGTGTGCGAAGGCTTTCACATTTTAGGGCAGATCGCAGTTAAAAACATTCCTACCTTTGTTGTTGTGTTCTTTGGTCGTTCGATTGTGTATATTTGTTTATGATTTCTTTTTTTTTTTTGTTCTTAAAAAAAGATTCAATTGCATGGAATAATTAAATCAAAATTCTAGAAACATTGTAGGAAAAAAAAAATCTCATTATTTCCTGCTAGCTAGAAGAAAAATTGACAAGCCCCACCATATGCAACTATACGGAAAATGTTATAATCATGCGATTCTCTATATCCCTTTGGTTGCATACGCTTGATTGTAGTGAGCTTTGTTCTTAGTGTCTTGTCAGTAAAATCAGTTGCAGAGCTAAGATTTGTTAGTAATTTTTTTTTATTTTTTTTATTTTGGTAGGCTAAGATTTATTAGTTTTATTATGGACAAATTGAAGAGAATTTTACTTTAGAAGAAGGGGAAAACACTTTTTTTTTTTTATAAAAAAAAATCTACTATAAAATTTTTGATAATAAAAAAATTTCTCATGACTCTGGTAAAACCCTCGGTTAACCTTTGTTTTTGTTGGGATTGCAGGGGTCAAAATACCACTTTCAGCTCTCAAGAGCATCATAGTGCTTTGTCAAAACGTGTTCCATCTCAAGGGCACCGCAGCATCTAGATTCTAGAATGCCACTACTTGGGTCCAAAATTAGTGTCGAGTTTGAATTTTTCTTTTAGTTTAACTGTATTAACGATGAAAGTCCAAAGACAATAATTTCAGACGGAGGGAGTACTTTATTTCTATTACCATTTTTTCAATCTTTTTTAATATAAAATGGAAACCAAAATCAAGTATAAACCTCATGTACGATATATATGGTAGCTAGTACGCTTTCATCGTCAAAATATAAAATATCTGGATGATAAATTAAAGAAATTACAGTTATACGGTTAAAATTTAAATAGTTTTTTAAAAAATAGTTAACGAGAAATTACCTCATTTTTTCGATTTAAAAAGAAAAATTATTTGTAGTCACAAAATTTTAATTACTATTATCAATTTATCATCATCATACGGCTGCCCGGTTCAAGAATCACACAGAAGTACAAAGCGAAAAAGACGATATCGAACTATTGAACATTGTTGTAGGAAAATGATCGTTTCGTATTGTACGAGGCAAACATACATTAGAATACACATACATTGGCTTAAACAATTCAAACATATTATGTAAAGCCACGTGGAAATGCTAGGTACGTATAAGACAAATCCTCATCCTTAAACTAATCAAATTGAAATCAAATTCCAAGTAGTTGGTGTATTACGGTCATCCTCTCCCACTCGTTGTATGTCATTGGTTTAGTCATGATGATATTGGTATTGATATTCCTGTGATATTATTACTGTAAAGTTTGAAACTTATTATACTCTTTTAAGTAATATTTACACATAAAAGGCATAAAAAAAAAGGCATGCAAGAGAAAAGAAAAGAAAAAAAAAAGAGCTAAGAATCAAATCTCCAACAAGGAGAGAGGGGTGCAAGCAAGTCTGCAAGACAAGGCTGAGGTGGTTTGATGCATGTTTTCATATGCAGAAGTGATAAGAGTCGGTGGAAAAAAAAGTGAAAATTCAGTGACTAATGTGTATACGTTAAAAATAAAAGTGTAAATTTTTTAGAGAATTTAAAATTTCTATGCTAAAGAACCAATAAAAAAAGAGAACCAACACAAAAACTTTTTTTTTTCTTTTTCTTTTGTTCGCTATGAATATCATTTTCCTTTGATATCTAGTTTTCTGAAAATGAAGTTTATTTTGATGCTGGTATAAGAGAAGACCCTTCAACTCAAATAATCAAATCTTCATTAAGGAGAGACGGGTGCAAGGAAGTTTGCTAGACAAGGTTGAGGTGGTTTGATGCATGTTTTCCTACTCGAAGTGAGTGAAAAAATGTAGTGAAAACTTATGATCGATATGTATACAATAATTAAATATAAAAGTATAGTTTTTAAGAGCACGTAAAATATCTACGCCAAAATAATAACAAAATAAGGGGACCAATTCACTAATTTGTTTTCCTCATTTTCCTTTCATATTTAGTTTTCTGAAAATGAAGTTTATTTTGATGTTGGTATTAGGGAAGACCCTTCAACTCATGCATTATATATATATGATAATGGCGTAGTGAAACGTATATATACATGAATATGGTAATTACAAATGAAAATGTTTTCCCCATCCTTCAAAATAAGCCAAACTCTACCATCTTTACAATAATAGACATAAGCGTAAAATTGGGATGATATGATAACCTTGAAATATAATAGTGGTTCTAGATTCGTTGACAACCTAAATTGTCTAGTGCCAAGTGGATGTCAATTTCAAATTCAGCAAAGGCATGAATAAAAACATTTTGCATATGAGAGAGAGATCTATAAATAAGAAGCTAGCTCAAAAGCAACTTCCCAACCACATAGGAGTTGGGAGTAGTAGAGAGAGGAGACCAAAATTTCTCTCAACTATTATTACACAACCCTTCCTTTTGGTGTATTTGTGCTTCTCTTCATTAAGTTGAAATATGTCTCTAGAAATGGAAGAAAAGGGCTCTAATGGATACACTCAGGATGGCACAGTCGATCTCAAAGGGAATCCAGTTCTCAAATCAAAGAGAGGTGGATGGAAAGCTTGTTGGTTTGTTGTTGGTAATTCCTTTCACTCTCCCCCTCCCCTACCCCCTCTTGCATTGTAGCCATTTATACCTCTACAAGATAGCAATATCCTCAAGTTCTTCTTTTCTTCTTTTGTGGAGATTTTAACCTCAAAAATCAAAAGTCGTCATGTCTATTTGATCTTTCAATACGATTTTCATACGTATACTCTTTTACGAAAAAATAAACTTATAAAATTATTATTTTTTCATACCATACCAGAGATAATCTTTTGTCTATTGTCATTGCTTTTACTTATCCGAAACAAATTTAACCAATTTTCACCCGTAAAACTAATGTTATAGTGTGAAACAACTGATCAAATCGATATATTGAAGTTTTTCTTTGCTGCTCATCACTTCACCTATATCAAACAAAATGTGACACCATGTAGTTAGTATAAAGATCTTCTCCTTACTGGTCTAGATAGGGTTTGGGCATCGGGGTCATCAATTTATGGAGATTTTCACTTCAAGTAACATTTCGAAGACTTCGAGGTGAATTCTATTGATGATTTAGAGTGTTCGGTATGGCCATTAGAAAAAAACAATAAAACAAAACAAAAAGAAAAAAGAGAGGGAAAAAAAAAAGAAAAAGAAAGAAGCTAGAATGTCCATGTGCATCACAGGTTTCGTCATTGCCTATTCGGGGAATGGCTATATTTGCCCGTCTTTCTTTATTTTGTTTTTTGTGACTTTCTCTCGCTTTTGATCATTTATGGTTCTCATTTTCTTTTGTAGGGAAAATTAGAGAAAAAAGAATACTAAGAAGTGGTTTATCTCAGTCTAGGTTATTATTTGAACTTTATTTTTTTGGGCGAACAAAATGCTAATAATTATCGAAAGAATTTGATGACAGGTTATCGTCAATGGAGAGAAAATGAATGTGCTAACATAAAGTTATTGTCTCATTTGTCTTACTAAAGTATCACAATAATGATACAAAAATTTTAAGACGGAAGAAACAAAAAACCATCGAAATTATATTCGGATTAATGTAGCGGCGCAACAGGTTCATGGTCACATTCCGTAATGGTTTAGTAATTAAATCAAATATCTCGTCGACTTGAAATATTCTTTTGATATTTCACCTCACACCATCACTTTGCTAAGTCCCCAATTTGACTGGTAAGTCCTGAAACTTGTACAAAAAATCTGATCACTAGAGTCTAGAAATTATCTCCATCAATTATTTGACTTATCAACTTGAAGTATAGGAGGAATTTCATTGTAAATAAATTATGAGTCAGACTTTTCAACAAGTAGACAAAATAAAAAAAAAAACAAAAAAGGTTGATAAACAAAGTAGGATAATCATCGATTATAATTGTCGCTATTACTTGGAAGAACTCTTTGGAAAGGCCAGAGTTTCCCAGCATTTTTTTTTTTCACTAACAAGAGTTAATTTCGATACATTTGTCCTTCATTTAAAGGCCTAATCTCCCTAACACTTAACCCTCAAATATTAGTTTATTTTAATCTACTTGTGACTTGCGTAAGATATATTCTCATGTCTCAAAATCATTGTATAATTTGATTTTTTATTTTTATTTCAGAAGGATATTAATTATTTCGTCTTACATATTACTCACTTCTTGACCCATAAAACTTCACTTTACTTAACTAAAACAGTGTAATGAAATTGATTATTTTTCTTGGACGGAGAAGAGTATAAAATTGTGGATGGATATTGTCTGCATGTGTTACTAAGGATGAGGTTTGACTTGTTGTAGTGTACGAGGTGTTTGAACGGATGGCGTATTATGGAATATCAACAAACCTATTCATATACTTGACCAAAAAACTGCATCAAGGCACAGTGACAGCATCCAATAATGTCACGTATTGGGTGGGTACCGTTTGGATGACTCCAATTTTGGGTGCATATATTGCCGATGCATTTCTTGGCCGATATTGGACTTTCCTCATTGCCTCTGTCATCTATTTTTCGGTATGGTCCTCTTTTTCTCCCATTCTTTTAGTGCAGAATTACCTGACTAATTTTCCATTTGTAGTACAATGACACATTTCACAAAATATAATACTCTTTCTGTTCTAAAATTATTGTCCAATTTAGATTTTATAATTAAAAGGAAAATTCAAACTGAACAATAATTTTCGGGGAAAGTACCATTCTTCATTCCAAAAAACTTGTCACTATATCTATATATGTTGGGACGGAAGGAGTTTGCTCATATTAAAAGAATATAAATTAGTATCTAGTGTGCTTTTAATGTCTTTGTTCTCATTAAAGATAATTAGATTCATTGGTTGAAATCGAAATGCGCGTAACTTAAGAGTGAAGATTAGATTTTGACTGAATTTTACAGAATACATTTCAAATTGCTTTAGGGTAAGAGCCCAAAGCAAAGGGTAAATGAGTATTCTTGTTTATTTTTTAGCAAGGGCATATAAGCAATAGCTTAAGGCCGATTAATCTAGTCGAACTAAAGAAATTGTGTTTTATTAACTTTTGCTTAGCAAGAGAGTTTAAATATTACTTTGAGTGTGATATCTAAACAAGCGTATCTTTTTTCGATTAAAAATGGAACAATTTTCAGTATATTAAATTTTGCACGTATTTATGAGTGACAAATTTTGTATTGATGTAACAAAGAATCAACCCTTTAATAGGGACAAAATAATTAAGGAATCTTCGTCCGATCCGGCAAATGGGGGAGTACTACTTACTATTTAGGTTTCGCCACTAGGAAAGTTTAAAAAATTAAACATTTGTGTTAGGAACAAATTATTAAATGGATAACACCATGAATAATTGCTTTTGTTCTGGAAAACTTTGGCTAATACGTATTAGGCATTTTCCGACAGGAGCTTGCCTGGCGTGAATTCGTACGCCAAATAAAAATTCAAAACGTTCTAATTATGGGCCATATGATTCCAGAAGTGTTTTAGGATATTCTTTTCTTATGATGAAAAACACATATCAATAAATCAGTTTGGCAGCTATGTCCTGTCTTTTGTTCTGCGGATCCCTCGGGCGTTCAATATTGTCTGCTTTGACTTTCCAGTCGTCTATGTCTAAATAAGAGGCCAATTACTAAAAAACTAATATAATCGGAGGTAGTATCCAGTAGAGATTATTGATCAATAATCATTAGTGTTTGCTTAGTGATTAATAGTTTGTTAACATTGAAAAACTCTCGAGTTTTAATCTATGTTATAATTAATTGTTGAAAGACCTTTGTCCACTAAAATAAGTTTCACTCATATCGGTAGGACATTCAGCCTTAACTGAACTAATTAAGAGTTCACATTGGAGACTTGGTGAAGACGGTAATTTCAGTGTTTTTTTGTTCCGGCACAGTAGACACAAAATAATATTTACTCTCTCTGTCCTAAAAGTATTATCCAGTTTGATTTTTTACTTTTAATATACATTGTACTAAAAATTAAAATTCAAAATGGACAATAATTTTGGAACAGAGAGTATAAAAAGGAAAGATTATTCGACTAAACTTTTCCACATAAGTTTTCTATTAAGTAGAAATAGTTATACTCTTTAATGGATTAAAAAATTTTAAAGGGTCAATTTTTTCAACAACGTTTTCCATGATTTATGATGTTTATTAATTGCAGGGAATGTGCATGTTGACACTATCAGTTTCAGTGCATCCATTCAAGGCACCACGCTGTACGGATCCAAATGGTATAAACTGCAAGAAAGCCAACACATTACAATTAGCAGTTTATTTTTGTTCACTCTACACATTAGCCATCGGAACTGGTGGCACAAAACCAAACATTTCCACCATTGGAGCGGATCAATTTGATGAATATGACCCTAAAGAGAAGCTTCACAAGCTCTCCTTCTTCAATTGGTGGATGTTCAGCATATTTTTTGGGACACTTTTTGCCAACACTGTGCTTGTTTGGACTCAAGATAACATTGGATGGACTCTTGGATATGGTCTTCCAGCTTTAGGGCTTGCGATTTCTATAATGATATTTCTTGCCGGGACGCCGTTTTATAGGCATAAACTACCTTCTGGAAGCCCTTTTACAAAGATGGCTCAAGTTATAGTGGCTGCATTGAGGAAGTGGAAGGTTTCTCTTCCATCTGATCCTAAAGAGTTGTATGAGCTTGATCTTCAAGACTACTCGAAAAATGGGAAAGTTCGGATCGATTCTACACCTTCATTGAGGTTTGTGATCCCCCAAATGTTTCATTCTAGGAATTACATAATCTTCATTCTAGTATTTCAAAAGTTGTTTAAAAAGGTGATTACATAAACAAATGATTTTGACCCAACGACTTTATTTGTCATGCGTTCATCAGTGTGTGACAATAATAAATGAGCCACAAAAATATGCAAATATGTGATTGACTCCACAGACATTATAGAAAGCCACTTTACCCGAATAATAATCTATTAATTACTCACTCTGTCCCAAAATCATTGCCTAGTTTGGGATTTTACTTTTAGCTTAATTTTCACTAAAAGTAAAATCCCAAATTGGGTAATAATTTTGATATAGAGGAAGTACGTGTCTATCTCTTAATAGAAGCACATTTTAGCAAAACCTATGATTATATACAACTTTTAGGAAATCAAGAACTTGTTTTTATTAAACATGGCCGGAGATTGAAATTCGAGGTCACTAATGATCTCCAATTCATTCAAATTGATTTGCAGGATTCTAAACAAAGCTTGCGTGAAAACTAGTTCAGTTAGTCCATGGTCACTTTGTACAGTTACACAGGTAGAAGAAACCAAGCAGATGCTAAGGATGATTCCAATTCTGATCGCTACATTCGTTCCAAGCACGATGATTGCACAAATTAACACGCTGTTTGTTAAACAAGGTACAACGCTTAATCGCCGAATGGGGCACTTCCACATCCCCCCTGCGAGTTTAGCAGCATTTGTAACAATCTCCATGTTGATTTCGGTGGTACTATATGATCGATATTTCGTAACATTCATCCGAAAATGGACTAAAAATCCAAGAGGGATTTCTCTGCTACAAAGAATGGGAATAGGGATGTGCCTACATGTGATTATTATGATAGTGGCAGCATTGACAGAAAGATATAGGCTTTCAGTGGCGAAGGGTCACGGCCTAGTTCAGAATCATGGACAAGTTCCTCGGACGATTTTCATTTTGCTGCCTCAATTTGTGCTAATGGGCGTAGCAGATGCATTTTTGGAGCCTGCAAAAATTGAATTCTTCTATGATCAAGCACCTGAAGACATGAAAAGCCTAGGGACATCTTATTCAATGACCAGTTTGGGAGCTGGAAATTTCATCAGTAGTTTTCTGTTGACTACGGTTTCGCATATCACGAGGAGGGATGGGAACGAATGGATTCAGAACAACCTGAATGCATCTCATCTTGACTACTATTATGGATTTTTCGCGGCGCTGAACGTGTTGAATGTTATTTTCTTCTTGAGTATGGCCAAAATGTATGTGTATAAAGCCGAAGTATCGGATTCAATGGCTTTGCTTAGAGAAGAGTTTGGGAGATCAAAATCAGAGATGGTAAACGATCAAGCTGCTGTAGCATAAGTTTCTTGAATCTGTTACCAAAGGAAATCATGACACACAAAATTCGTAAGAAAAGATTTCAGCCTCAAAGCTCATAAAAGTTTCAGTTATTATAACATCCCAATCGTTATATAAATCTTGATGAAACAAACTCTGGATAATAATTCCGGGAAGGAGAATTATTTATTACATCTCTATTGCACTGTGAAACAAACTCTGGATGTCTTTCTTCTAGTCCACTTTTGATAGTTACGATTTGCATACGAATGTAAATGCGAGTGTAAGTTCGTAGTTCTTACGGCATTAGATTTCGGAAATATTAGGAGCCTAAAACACAAATGAACTCCAGAAGAATAACAAGAGGAAAAGGATGATCAAGAATTATAACATACACCATTGTAAATATTCCTTACGTCCTGAAAAATAGTCCTCCACTATGTTGTATTGTTTTTAACTGAGTAAAAGTGGATTATTTTTCCGGGGCGGCATGAAATTGCCAACTACCAGAGATAAACTTAAGTCACTCCATCAATGTTTTCAAACAAACTTCATCTTATGACATCATTCCCATCATCTATAGTAAGCTCATCAAGCAACAGCTCCCATGGAATTGAAGGCAGTCTCTTTTCAGACGGCTGGTAATCCTTATTCTTGTAAAAACTAAAGTCGGACCAAATATCAGGTTTCATCTCCAATTCCTCCCGAAATCGCTCATACCAAGTCTTCATCTTGTCTTCATATTCTCTACTTCTAGCACATTCACCAACTTCCACGTCTGGACGTTTCAGTTCTCATCCTCGGGGCTTTCCTCTTTTTCTGTTTCAGCTTAAACTCATGACACTTTTTTTTATCAATAGCACATCAGGAAGCTCATAGCCTTTGTCTTTCAAAAACTCAAAAGTAGGTTATGTTCATATCATCCAAAACATTGCCTAGATGTGTTCTCACAAATTGTACTAAGAATCTCCTTCCAAAAATTCAACTTTGCTTCAAACTTTCTTTTGGAGTCAGGTTCAGCCCTAATTAATTTGGCATCAAACAGCTGTTCTTTGTTCAGTTTCTTCAACCTACTTACATAGAAATCAAGCAGATCTTTCGACTCCAACAGCGTCTTCAACCAAGTTGAGGCGGTTCGTAATTACCTATAACATTCAGGAAAATGCAAAAGATTCACATGCTTCTGCAATCCAACAATAATATCGGTCTCGTCGCGCAAGGCCTTTGAACAAACAGAAGAAGGATTTTCAGCCATATCTGAATTTGCATTAATGGAAGAGAACCAAATCCGAAGAGGCAACTAAGCCAAACAGAAAGATTTAAGGTTTAAACGTATAGGATTGAAATATTCTACCTCAGAAAATCGGTATAGAAAAAGAAAAACTTGGAAACCTCATGGAGTGAAAAATTTAACCATACTAATGTATCTCTGACAAACCGGAATCCTCTAACAAGAATCACGCAACCAAAATACACAAATTAAAAAAAAAAAACAAAATCAAATTCGGCTAACCGTAGAGCACAAACCAAGAAAATCTAATCATTAATAAGATACTGAACCAAACAAATTAACCAAACTTACTTACTAGAAGACAAATTCATTGATTAATCAACACAATATAAAACTCCCACAGCCGCCCAAACACCAAAGTTGCTGTATTTTTGCCACCTAAAAAAAAGATTCATTCCAAACACAATATAGGACTTATTTTCTGACCGAAAACAAAAACAAAAATTACACAAAAAAAAAACCCGCACAGAATCTTAATATGAAAAGTTTTTCAACACGTAGTGTTACAAACTTTATTGATTCGACACACTAAAACCCAAAAATTAGTATTCATCATTCAAGAACTCTCCAATTTTGGAAGAGAGAAAACTCTTCAATTTTGATTAACGATCAAAAGCTACGTACAATGTAGGCAGACGGTTTCTTTAATAGGAAATCATGACAAGTAATCATTAAAATAAAAATGACGAAAACTCCTACAAACAACTAACGATCCTATGCGATCTTCAACAACAAACTGTTTGAGTTGATTTTTCCCGATCATTTGTTCTTCTTTGGCGGGCATGACAGAACTCTCAGAATTTTTCTATCCAGTCCAAGTTGAAGCTAATATATGTCATCTTAGTAGTCTTCTCACTTTCCTTAGTAAAGCTCGATATTAGGTTTTGAACTTCCTGAAAACTCCATAGCGGTGGACATATCACCGAACGCCCTTCTTTTATGTAGTTGGTGCGGTTCATATTGGAATGGAAAATCTCAATTCCTTTCACTTTACATTGTTTAAATGAACTAACAAGAAATTGACTTTTCGATATCAACATCTCACGAAATAGCTTGGAGTGTTCATCAGGGTAAAGATATTGGTGTGTGATGGTTTGAGGGTGACAAATCCAGAAAACACCTCGCAGAATAGCACGCGCAGAAAACACCTCAGTTGACACTTAATCTGATTTCTGTGGGTCAATTATGTGAAAAAGGTTTTCATGTGAATTTTTCACCCTCTGGTGTGCAGGAACATGATCCGCAGACGGGACATATTCTTGGGACGGGTCGCCGAGTGGGCCGGCTGTTTGAGCTTAAATCTCTGCAAATCCATCAAACTTTTCTGTGTGCAACTGCTACTCTCCCCTCATCCATTCATCAATGGCACCTTCGCCTTGGACATGCTTCTGCCAGCAAACTTCAGCCCTTAATTTCTCGTGGATTGTTAGGATCTACTAAATTTGAAAGTTTTCGTTGCCAAAATCGCCAGTTAGCTAAACAACCTGCATTATCTTTGATTCTTTTCATAATAATGATGCCATTGCCAATAGTACCTTTAACTTGATTCATTCAGACATTTGGGGACCTTCTCCCAGTTATTCAATAAATGGCTTTCGTTATTTTGTTCTTTTCATTGATGATTTTTATCGTTTTACTTGGATATATTTTCTGAAAAATCGTTCTGAATTACCGCACACCTATATTGCTTTTGCTAACATGATTAAAACTCAATTCTCTTGCACTATTAAAATTCTCCGTACAGATAATGCCATGGAATATCGTGAATCCTCTTTGCTTCAGTTCCTTCAACAAGAAGGAACTATCATTCAACGCTCTTGTCCTCACACCTCTCAACAAAATGGACGATCTGAGCGTAAACATCGAATATCCTTGACTTTGTAAGTGCCTTTCTTCTCTCAGCTTCATGCCCTGAAAAGTTTTGGGGAGAAGCAGCCCTCAATGCTGTCTTTACCATTAATTGTCTTCCCACAATGGTTCTTAAAAATTTATCTCCCTTTGAAAAATTATATGGCTCCAAATTACTCTGTTCTCAAGCCTTTTGGTTGTGTCTGTTTTGTTCTGTTACAACCTCATTAACATACAAAGTTAGAACCCCGAGCTCGTCTTTGTTGTTTTCTTGGATATGGCATTGACCATAAAGGGTATCGTTGTTGGGATCCTATTTCCAATAGGTTGCCCATCTCTCGACATGTTACTTTTTCGGAAGATATCATGTTTTCATCTCTTTCTAAATTTCACGACCCTATTACTAGTGATTCTCTGTTTTTCTCTGACTCTTCACCTGAATTATTTCCTAGTTCCGAATCTGATTCCAGGTCCATTGACCCGGTTCCCAACGAATCTGAACCAGCTGCTGATTCTGCACCTGAGCCTATATTAGTTCCAGATACCAGTCTTCGTCGTTCTACAAGGGTAACTGAACTTCATCGTTATCTCTCTGATTACCATTGCTATTCTGCTATTGCTACACTTCATGAACCTCAATCTTATCGTGAAGCTAGTACTAACCTTCTTTGGCAGAAAGCTATGGCTGAAGAAATTCAGGCCTTAGAAACTACTCATACATGGGACCATTGAGCAAATGGATTTATAAGATCAAGACTCGTTCTAATGGAACCATTGAGCGTTACATAGCTCAACTAGTTGCTAAAGGATATACTCAGGAATATGGCATTGGCTACGAAGAAACCTTTGCTCCTGTGGCTCGCATCACTTCTGTTCGTAGTCTTTTGGCGATTGCTGCGGCTAAGAAATGGAAACTGTTTCAGATGGATGTTAAAAATGCCTTCTTGAATGGTGACTTAGTGGAAGAAGTTTACATTCACCCCCCACAGGATATCATGCACTGCATAAAGTGTGTAAACTTCGAAGAGCATTGTACGGCTTAAAACAAGCTCCTAGGGCCTGGTTCACCAAATTCAGTTCCACTCCTTCTCAGTCTGGTTTTGTTTCTAGTTCATATGGCTCTGCTTTGTTTATTCGAAGAACTAACAAGGGCATTGTTCTTCTTCTGCTATATGTTGATGATATGATAATTACTGGAGATGATGTGTCAGGTATTTCAGAGTTACAATATCTTAGCCGCCAGTTTGAAATGAAAGATCTTGGTTCTCTGAGTTATTTTTTGGGGCTTGAAGTCTCTCAAAATTCTGATGGCTACTATCTTTCTCAAACAAAGTATGCATTAGACTTACTCTCTCGCGCTGGCATCATTGATAGTAAAACTGTCTCGACTCCTTTGGAGGTCAATTGTAAGCTTACACCTCTTGATGGTGTTCCTTTGACTAATCCTACTTTTTATTGTCAACTAGTTGGGAGTCTTGTATATCTCACTGTTACGCGCCCCGATATCTCATATGCGGTGCGTCTAGTTAGTCAGTTTATGTCTACTCCCCAGTCAACACATTTTGTGGCAGTTCTTCGAATTCTTCAGTATCTTAAAGGTATCCTTTTCCATGGATTGCATTTTTCTGCGAAGTCTAACTTGGTCTTATCTGGCTACTCTGATGCTGATTGAGCTAGCGACCCAACTGACCGTCCTCCAAGACGGGTTAATTATTATTTTTTTTTTGGGAAGCTCTCTTATTTCTTGGTGTAGCAAGAAACAGACTGTTGTCTCTCGTTCTAGTGCTGCATCTGAGTATCGTGCCCTCACGGATGCCACTGCTGAACTACTCTGGTTAAGATGGTTATTAGATGATATGGGAGTCTCACACTCACTTACTATGCTTCACTGCGACAGTAACAGTGCTCTCCAGATTTCTCACAATGATGTCTTCCATGAACGTACGAAGTATATTGAAATTGACTGTCACTTTGTCCTCATCATGTTACTCGTGGCACAATTTGCTTGGTTCCTGTCTCCTGTGCCAATCAAACTGCTGACATATTTAGTGATTTGGTCATTATTGTAATAGGATTAGGATGATTTGATTGTGATTTGATTAGATAGGGATTATTTATTTGATTGACAATCAACTTTATGGTTGTCTATGTAAATTAGGAAGCGAGCCAATTTCTTGTTGTATAAATAGCCACAATACAGAAAGGAATGTACAATCTTTTTCACAAAACCAAAGCCACATGTCTGACTTTTCTTTTGTCGTAATAAAGATGAAAAAATTTCGTCTAGCTTTGTACGCGAAACTTTTCTAACACGTGACACACGGAACCCTCTTCGCCGTATAACAAATTCTCGAATCTCCAAACGAGGGTGATGAGATATAGGAAATGGGAGAGAATTAGATGCTTGATTAGACGCTACATTGAATCCCACATTCTTCGGGAAAGAGACGGCAATGGAAATTTCAGACCCTTTGAATTGTGCCAAGAATTCCTTCAGCCTTAAGAACCACGAATTATCGACCTTCATGTTTGTAGTGAAATTTAATTCGATGCGCGAGATCCATCTCGCTGAGTCTCCATTAAATGTTAACTTTGGAAGTACTGCATTCATGCCACTATGGTAATCGAAATTAGTGAGGCAAGGCACATCAAAGTAAGCCTCTTGCATATTAAAGAGGGATATAATTACCAATTTTATTTTCTTGAGTGACCGACTTGATATGTTTATGGTTTTCAGTTTTGTGCAGCCATCACATTCTAATGATAACTCTTCGAGTTGCGGGAATTTTTGCATCCAGTAGTCCATGTAGGAATCGTTGTCGCCTTCCGAAGCGTTATAGAGGGACAATTTTTTGAGATTTTGGTATTCAGGTTTACGAAAATTAAACCAGTTGCGAGCTGTCCCCTCATCCCAATAATGTAGATAACAAGATTCCAGCCTTGGTAATTCATCCACTTCAAGTGTTTGACCTGAAACCAATTCAACATTCAGTTTCCTAAGCTTGGGAAGATTGGAAAATTAATGTTGTCTCCTCGCACCCCAGAGCGGCAATCCAAAATCTCCAGGATTTCAATTGAAGGGCAGCCTTTGATCATGTTCTTAAATGTGCCCTCGTTAAAAGTTACACATTTAAGAGATAGAAGTTTGAGATTAGGCAACATTGTCACGAATCTCTCCGACTCGGCCGGCTGCTGCAAACTACAACTGTATAAGGTCAAATCCTCAACGTAACATTGAAAACAGAAACAGGCACAACATAGGAGCTTATTGGATCTATGGATAGATTAAGGTTTCTTAAAGAGATTGTTGTAATTTTGTAATTACATGTTGTAAGTATTTTTTTTTACTACCATGTTAGGGTTTCTGTAAAACTTGTATAAAACCGTAACAGGGGATCAATGAAAATAATTCTTTTCTCCTCCAATTTCTTTATGGTATCCAGAGATAGGTTTTCCTAAACCCTAGTTCTATTTTGGCCGCCGATTCAAACCTTTTTTTTCCGGCCTCTTTCTTCTTCTTGGATTGTTGATTTCTTCTGCTAACTCACCATCATGTGTGATAAAACTCCAACTTCTGCCGTCAGTGGCAACACCGATCATAATCAGACCCAAAACTCTGGCCAAGCTGTTTCGGGTGTTGATACAAAGTCGCCGTATTATGTTCATCCGGCGGATCAACCTGGCCATCAATTCGTTACCACCCCGCTTTCCGAGAACGGAGATAACTGCTTCACCTGGAGAAATAATCTTCTCACTGCCTTTCAATCCAAAAATAAGGCGGGCTTTGTGGATGGTAGCATCAAGCGTCCCGACGTGAAATCCGGCGATTACCAGCATTGGATTTAGTGTAATGCACTGATAAGATCTTGGCTATCAAACTCCCTCTGTCCTGAGCTGTAGACGGCTGCTGTTCACACTGAAACTGCCCATGAAATATGGCGTGATCTGGAGGAACGTTTTACTTATGAACTGAAGCGGACCCTCGCCTTGCTGTAGCAGGAGAGAATGCAAACACCGATTTACTACGGAAAACTCAAAAGCCTCCTGAATGAGTTGCAGAATCTCAGGCCGCCTCCCACATGTTCTTGTAACAGATGTACTTGCACCGTTGGCCAGCGTTTGAACTTTGAAATCCATGCACGAGGAAGAAAAGGTATTCGATTTTTTAATGGGTTTAGACGATACTTACAAGACTGTTCGATCCCAGATTCTTAGCATGAAGCCTTTACCCATGCTGGGAAAAGCTTATTCAATGGTGGTGTCCGACGAGAAGCTACAAACTGTTGCTGATTCCAGAACTCCAACAGCGGCAACTCTGATTGAGAAATTGAACTCCGGACGACGTGATACTGTCAGCCAACGTGGAGGAGCCTCCCGGTTTTGCACTCACTATAAGAAAGCAATCATAACAGGGAGGCTTGTTTTGAGCTTGTTGGGTATCCTGCTGGGTGGCGGCAGCCGCGGCAGAAATCAAAACCAGTCGGAGCTGCGGCGGAACCCTCGGCCTTCGCTGCTGTTGGTGATAATAATTCGCCAGTCCCGTCTCTTTCCCAGGCTCAGATACAGCAGCTACTTACGATGCTTGGAGGGCAGCAACTAGCTTCGGCTTCTTCGACCAATGTTGCTTGTCCAACTTCCGGTAAGCCAAGTCCATGGGCAGCTGATTCGGGTGCAACCAATCATGCTGCTCATCAAATTCGGTTGATGACTAACCTTATACCTTGTGATGATAGCTATATACAGATTCTGAATGGTGATTGTGTGCCTGTTCCGGCCTTTGGGATGATTAAATTGGATAAGAATTTGACACTTCATGATGTTTTAGGAGTGCCGGATTTCCATTTTAATTTATTGTCTCTCAGTAAACTAACACAAGATTAGATTTGAATTGCTACTTCACATTTGGCCCTGATTTTTGCTTCATATAGGACTTAGACTCAGAGGAAGCTGATTGGAAGAGGAAGCTGATTGGAGTGGGTAGGATGCACAATGGTCTCTATCATCTGGAACCAATGAGGGGTGGTGACGGAAAGCAAGTGGAACAAGCGCTCGTTATCAGAAAGGGCAGCACAACATCTTTGGTGCCAAATAATTCAGTTGATTTTGATTCTTCTAGTGGCTTTGTAGAGCAAAACACACTAGATTGCCATTTCCTTTACATCAGAATAGATCATTGAACGTTTTTGATTTAGTACACTGTGATGTTTGGGGTCCTTATCAAACACCATCAAAATCTGGGGCAAAATATTTTCTTACAATTTTGGATGATTGTAGAAGGATAACTTGGGTATTTTTCATGCGCTATAAATCTGAGACGAAGCGATATTTGCTTATGTTTTTCAATTGGGTGTATACACACTTTTGAACTAAAGTCAAAGTTTTTCGCACTGATAATAGCCTCGAATTTTGTCATTCACCGCTCAGTGGAATTGTACTACAGGGCGGACAACTCGGCACTTCCGCCGGTCTGAATTGTACTACAGGGCGGATAACTCGGCACTTCCGCCGGTTGGCCAAACCCATGACATGAGTCCTTGGGAACCAGAAGGTCCCTACAGCGGGTCGGCAAATGGGCGGCGGGCGCATGTGTCATTGCTAGCCTGGATTTTGACTTAGAGGCGTTCAGTCATAATCAAAGTTTAGATTCTGACTTAGCCCGGATAATGGCCACGCAAAATATTGAGGTAAAATCAACACCGATTTTGGGATGTGCAGAGTTTAGGAACTCTAAGTAACAATCACGCCTTGGATTTATCAGTGTTTGTTGGGTTAATCTTCCGGACTCCGAACACGGAAATCTCAAAAGATTGACCTTGTATGATGTGGGGATCAATGGGAATGAAATGGATGACAACTTTTCTATTGACTGGGAACATAAGTTCCCGCAACTTGAAGCCTTATCGATCCAGGTTTACAGACACTTGCGAGCTATTAATATATCAAGCCGGTCACTGAAGAAAATACTTCTGATCAGTAACTGCAAATTGCTAGTGGCTCAATTTGATGTGCCAAATATTGCTATTTTTGAATACCAAAACTATCTTAACTACGATGATAGAGATGAGCTGATGCCAGATTTACCGAAGTTATCATTTACATATGTCTTAGGAGGATGGATTTCTTGCATTAGATTAGAATGCAAGGACAATATCAATAATTCGTGGCTATTAAAGTTGGAGGAGTTCTTGACAGAACTCAGTGGGTCTGAAACTCTCATTAATGTTTATTTTGTTGGGAATGTGGGATTTAATGTGGATAAGATGAAAGATTCTCTCCCATTTTATGGAGGTGGCCAATTAAAGATTCGCGTATTTGTCATCGCGAAATCAGCTACGGGGTTTGACTTATCAACTGCTCGCGCAATTCTGAATGGTATCTTATGGATTTGCCGGCCTCGAACCATAACATTGCAACATTTGTGACAAGACTACAAGTATCCCAAGCTATTTTGTGATCTGCTAATACCTAAAAATGACCATTCCGGGTCCTTGAATTTTCGGCTGGCTGTGTTGTTGAAGGAATCAAACATTCAGATCTTCAAACATACTCCGCCTATGTCCCGGGAGAATCGCATGCAACACTTCAGAAAAGGCCGAGGTTTGCATTTGCCACAACCACTGCCTGACCGTGAGTAATTTGTTGAAGCATTGAAATGTTATTCTTCCAAGCAGAAAAGTTGGAAGACTAAAGGGCTAACCATCAGCTTCAACATGGAATAAAGATCCTTCTTTTTGGGTTTAAATAGAACCCGAGGGAGGGGAAAAGAGATCTTTTGACGCTGAGGGAGTAATTTTTATTTATTTTTGGTTTAGATAGGACCCAAAAGGCTTTCAGCATCACGAATGATTTTCTTCCGGAGGAAGAAGAGGAAGTCCAAAGGGAGAATGCCTGGGCTTTTGAGAAGTCAATCATTTATCAAAACTGACGCAGATTAATTTTATAGAGAATTTGTTATAGTTGTTTCGAATAGAAGCAGTACGGTGTTATGTTTTTCATTTTCTTGTTTTTGCATATTATCCTAAGCATCACCAAAAAAAAAAAAAATCAAATTATCAATCTCAGAGTTGTTTCCTTGCTACTGGCCACAAAATTGTTTCTTTCAAACTCTTTTGTCAAAAAGTATTATATTTTAAATGTTTTTTTTCCCCTTTCTGTTTGTGACTTGCTCTGAACATCTAAAACATTATAATTCCAATTAAAAAAAGAGTTTATGGTAACTTGGGTTGATTTTTTTGGACTGTGTAGCTTGGTTGTAACCTGGAAGCTGTTACACAGCAGCCGGAAATCCATATAGTACATGTTTGAGAACTGAGGTTTTAGGCTATATTTGCTTCTTTTATCAAACCATTACAAAGGGAATGAAAGAAATACTTGGAAGCATTTGTAAGAATACAAATTTTCCAAACATTAATGGTCATAATGTAGCTCCAAGATCACAACTATTTGTCTAGTGCTGAAAGCGGAAAAACAAAAAACGAAAACTCAAAAAACAAAAAACTTGTAATATGTTCTTTAGCCTTAGGCACATTGAAATCATGAAAACGATCTAGCTAGGTAGTGGAACTTTTCTTTTTTTGCCCAATCTCTATGCTCTTTTGGTTTGCATATCACAGCTGACGATTTCTCCATCCATTCCAAGTTGAAACTAATGGTTATTTCAGCCATACTTTTCTTACTCTCCTTTAAATAAGCCTTCAATTCTCTCCGAAATTTCCAGAATTTCGGAAATGGTTGACATATCTTCAAACCTCGTCCTCTTCTGGAGCAGTGGGTGCCATGTCTATCGATACTACGAGATTCAAAGATCTCAATTTCTGTCAATTTCCACAACTTAGGGAGCAGAAAAAATGAAGTGTCAGCGTCATAATCATAACTTTTCGATATCAACATATCATAAAATGGCTTAGAGAACTCATCGTACTCGCTGTAAAATTGGTAACTGATGGTTCGAGGGTGACAAATCCCGAAAATACCCCGCAAAATGGCACAATGAGGAGAAATGTATGAAAACTCCCTTTGCATTATACAAAATTCTTCAACTTCCGGGCAGGAGTGAGCTACATAATGATCTGCATCCACTTTGTTTGAGAGCTCAACTGTAATGGAAATTTCAGACCCTTTGATTGCTGTGAGGAAATTATTCAGGTGTAACAACCCTTCAATGTGCTGGAGGCGTCCTAATTTGATGTGAGAGATCCATTTGCCTGAAACGCCATTAAATGACACCTTGGGGATCGTCACACTTTTGCGGTAAACATCGTGTCTGTAATCAAACACAGCAATGCAAGCCAGATCGAAGTAAGCCTCTTCCAAATTGAAGATGTTTACAAGATGTATTCTCTTCAGTGTTGGACTCGCGATATCGATTGTTGTTAATTTTGAGAAACCTTCGAGTGATAACTCTTCAAGTCGCGGGAATTTTCGTGTCCAGTAGTCCATGGAAAAACTATCTCCCGACCTATGATCGAGGAACAAACTTCTCACATTTTGGTATGCTGATTTATGAAAATTGAGCCGTTTAGAAGCTGCCGTATCTTCTGAGTGGTGGAATTTACAAGCTACAGATTCCAAATTCGGCGCTTCATCCACTTCAACAGTTTGCTTGTAAAGTAAACTAATATCAATTTCCCGAAGCCTGTGAAAATTAGTAAGCTTGATATTTAATTGCCCGGTATACCCGCAATCTTTAATCTCCAAAGTTTCAATTACAGGACAACCCTTGACTATACACCCAAATGTGGTTGTGGACAAAGATATTTCGACCAGAGATAGCCTTTTGAGGTTAGGCCACTTTATAGTTGCGAATCTCTCCAATTCCATCAATTTACAGCCCTTTAAAGATAACTCCTCCAACGTTGTAACTTGAAAAAAAGAACGAGGCAGCAAGATAAAGTCCTCAGACTGCAATTTCAACTTCTCCAAACCAATATTTTGTTGTTTGTACCGTTCCAAAGTGAGCAATACATACAAGTGTTGCTCTACGGAAAACTGACGATCTCCTGGAAAGCGCCGCAAATCAAAATCCAAACTAGGGCTTGTGTGGAACGCGCTCAACAACTGCTTTGATAAGATACTTAATCGGATAGCTTGTTTGGGTGTGAATTTGAGATAAGAAAGTATGTGATGAACAGTCTCTTCCGGCAGATCTGACAGGCTTCCCATGGCTGATCAATCCTTTGTTTTGAAAAAAACTGACCTAATTTGTGTAAGAAGAGAGTGCTATAGAAACAGAAGCCAATCGTCGTGATAAATAAGGAGCAGAAGGGGATTACGGAGTCCTATTGTACTACAGTATCTCTTAAAACTATAGTATTTAGTATATTCCACGTGAACTAATTTTTTTTATTTATTTATTTTTGATATACTGTACAAATAACCACAAAACTCACGACGAACTTTTTTTTTTTTTTTTTTTTGTGTTTCTTTTGGTGAAAGGGAGTACTAAGATCAGGAAACCTCAGCGTTGGGATGTCATTGTGTGGGCGTATATCCGATTAAGCATGCCCGTAATATATTCTTCATCACAAAGTAGTGTGAGGGAAAATTCCTTCGTATCTCAAACTTTCATTACAAAGAGACACGGAGTGGTTACAAAATTATAATACGTAATAATATTCCGTTATTTCTTAAAATTTCATTCTTGGTTTTGATTATTTATTTATTTATTTATTTTTAAAAAAAGGAACACCTAGAACTCGTTAGAGATACGCAGCCGCTAACAAATTTAAAATTTCTTTTTCTTTTTTTCTTTTTTTGGGGTGTGGCGGGGGGGGGGGGTAGAGGATAAAATAGCTTTAATCGATTGAGAGGTAAATAATTGACAAATGCTTTTGAAAACAATTCCATTCGGAAAAACTCTCATTCTGTCCCAAAATTATTGTGCAATTTAGATTTTTACTTTTATTTTATTTTATACTGAAAATAAAATTTCAAACTAGACAATAATTTTGGGATGGAAGGAGTGTAGTGCTACTTTTATTTCAATACTTTTTTTGACAAATTTTTTTATTTTTATTATTTTTTTGCTAATGTTGCTAGAACACGACTTGGTTAAGAGTTCTCCCCCACATGGTACTCTAATCTAGTATCTTAGGTCTTTGGTGTCTTTTAATTTATTGTACCAAAAAGAAAAAAACACACACACACACATATATGTATATATACATATATATATATATATATATATAGTTAGAAGGGGACCAGAATGCATATGATATCTTTAATTCCCGCTCTATCCTAAAAAAAAAGTCCACATCGAGTTTTGTAATTCGTACTGATTATAGTATGAATATAAAAATTCAATGTAGATTTTTTGACGGAGGGGGGATATGTAATATGAAAAATAACATATTTGTAATTTGTTCTAGTTTTAGTACAAATTTAAAAAATTTAATGAAGATTTTTTTGGGGGAGGTAGAACAAAAAATACCATATAAATGACCATGAACCTCTATAAAAGATTATTCTAACCGGAATTTTGGGTCAACCGTTTGTGTGTGCCTGTACATCTACTACTTTTCGACATGTCCTAACTGACCATTTTAATTAGCTCGATGTGGAAGATTGTTATTTGGCTCTCGACTTAAGAAACCATTTTTTTATCAGTATTTTATTTATTCCAAAGGAGGTCACTATAATCAAGTGAGCAAACAACGAGTTCATGATTCAGTCGGTGTTTTCTGTTAGAACAAAATGATTCCGTTTAAATTAAGGTGTATTGGTTGTAGAAAATATTTAAGAAAAAGAAAAAAGAGGTGAACATGCAAAAACCCAAGTGGGCAGACAACCGCGAGTTCAAAGATTATGATGTCAAGGGGTGCTGGTTCGTCAGAGAAGAAGATGATCTCATTGAAATCTTCAGATGGGGAGGCATTTGAAGTCGAGGAATCCGTGGTGGTTGGATCCAGAACCATCAATCATATGATCAAAGACGGTTGTGCTGACAATGACATAACTCTTCCAAACGTTACTGGCAAGATTTTGGAAAAAATTATTGAATATCTAAAACGCCATTACATCGAGGCAAAGTAAAACGATGAGAATTTGAAGGCGTTCGTCTCAAATTTTGTGAAGGTAGAACAGGGGACTCTGTTTGACCTCATCTCGGCTGCCAATTACCTTAATATTTAGGAATTGCTAGATCTCACTTGTCGAATACTGGCGGATATGATCAAGGGTAAGTCTCTGGAAGAAATCCAGATGACATTCATTATCAAGAATGATTTTACTCACGAGGAAGAAGAAGAAGTTCGTAGGGGGAACGCTTGGCCATTGGATTGATCTTGCCCCGGTCGAAGAATGATTGTTTGTTAATTTGATTTTTTTTTTTTTTTGCTGGAGAATTTGTCAAAGTAATTTATTTTATATAATAAGTATCATAAAAGTGTTACTCCTATTTATTCCAGCAGTTTATTTAGTTACTTTAATTTTGCTTTGTATTTTGTCTGGTTCTTATTTGTTTTTAACAAGTATAACAAATTCACTTTAATAAGCTTTATGTTTTTTTTGGTACAATGAATAATTTTGCAGTGAATGATTTTTGTGATTGCAAAAGTCGAGATCTGCTTGCTCTGACCAAAAGCTATCCATTTTAATCAAATTTTGGAGCTATACTTTACAGATGGAGTTAGAGAAAATTAGTAAAATGACACAAACCTTTGCGCCATCACAACTATGCGAAGAAATAACATAAGAACCGACCTATGTAGAATGTTAGAAACCAAAATGGTGAGACAAAAGAACTCTGTTGATCATAGAATTTATCTATTTTTAATATCTCTTTATGCAAGATTTTGCCAATATATTGAGTTCAAATATGCTATTTATGTGTTTTTATCTTTGATTGTAGGAATTGTACTCAAATGGAGGAATTGTTAAAGTTTAGAGCTAAATTGTATTAAAAAGAAACTTAAAGGGACAGAATTGAAGATTAGAAGAACTAATGAGGAAGAAATCAATGAGCTTAAGGACTTGGAGGACTAAAATGAAAATCTGGATTTCTAGCCTTGGTTTGGCCAAGGAGTTGAAATGTTGCATGGGCTGATTTAATTGGTTGTTTTGTTTTGGAGCCCAAGCTTATAAACATGGACTATGGACTAGGGTGTCAGTCACCGACCTATTTGAAACCTTAAAATTTACGAATTATGACGAAAGAGAAAGAATCATCAAAGGAGGGGGAAGATCAGAAAAGGGAGAGAACAGAAGAAACATAGGGAGAAATCGGATAATATTAATTTCGTGGATGATTCTCGATTACTTCAGCAGAGTACATAATATAGCTGGCAGACTCCGTCTTACGCTCCTGTTAACGTTAACAGAATCTTGATTTAACTAAGCAACAAGAAAACGGATCCCTTCTAGAAGTTGAAGGTTCCAGAAAATAGGAAGAAAGATAAGAACGAGCAGCTCAGGATTCTAATCTGGAGTCTGCTAACGTCACCAATTACTTTACCAAAATTAAAAAATCCAATAAAACAGCCAAAGCGTGACATTGCCTTCTCCTCAATCCAAAGCTTGTCCTCAAGCTTTGAATCTTGGGAATTGCTTGACGATGAAATCTTTATCTTCCCACGATGCATCCTCTATCCCTAAAACCCCTCCAATGTACCAGCCATTGCACCACATTACGTTGGTTCCTTTTGATCATCCTCCGTTGCAGCACCTTCACAGGATATAGGGAACATTCTTCGTGCTGGGAAAAATCAGGTGGCATAGAGGCTGAGACCGGTCGATTCCCAATGTGCTTCTTGAGGAGCGAGACATGGAACACCGGGTGAATCCTAGCTTGATCAGGAAGCTTAAGTCTATAGGCCACAGTGCCTATTTTTTCCAGAATTTCATATGGACCATAGCATTTGGAAGCCAACTTCAGGGAGTTTCTTACCTCCACCGATTGCTGTTTAAATGGTTGAATTTTCAGATATACCCATTCCCCTACTTGCAGTACGCGATCGGTTCTGTTCAAATCAGCATAGAATTTCATCCTCGATTGCGCCTTCATCAATTGGTCTTTCAGAATCTTTAATACCACTTTTCTCTGTTCTATCATGTTTTCAGTCGCTGGTATAACCACATCCTGATAAGGCCCCAGAGGAAGGTGAATAGGCTTACAGCCGTATAAAGCTTCGTAGGGAGACATGTTTAGACTACTGTGATGGGTAGTGTTGTACCACCATTCAGCGAGAGGTAGCCAGTTGCTCTAGCTGGAGGGTTTGATTCCGGTGAAGCATCGGAGGTATGTTTCGAGACACTGGTTCACCTTCTCCGTTTGGCCATCGCTTTGTGGGTGATAGGACGTACTCATACATAACTTCACATTCAACAATCTAAAGAGCTCCTGCCAGAAGTGACTCGTAAATAGCTTATCGCGATCACTAACAATGGTCTCCGGTAGCCCATGGAGCTTGTAGACTTCTTTCAGGAATAACTCTGCCACTGTTGTTGCTGAAAAAGGGTGTGTTAAGGCAAAGAAATGGCTGTACTTGGTCATTCGGTCTACCACCACTAAGATGGTGTCATTTCCTTGCTCCGAGGGCGGCAATCTTTCGATAAAATCCATCGAGATATCCCGCTAAGCCTGCTGAGGGATACCAAGTGGCTGCAGTAGACTGGGATATGGCACGTGTTCACTCTTATTTCTTTGGCATACATCACAGGATCTTACAAATTCTTCAATTTCTTGTTTCATTCCCGGCCAGAAGAAAATGGATTTAACTCTCTGTATGGTCGCCGTTTGTCCTGAGTGTCCCCCCAAGGATGAAGAGTGCATAGCCTCCATAATTGATTGTCTGATCCCTCCTTGGCTGCCTATGTAAACCTTGTCTGATTTCTTGAGAATCCCATTCACAAATTGGAACTCTCTGCTGTTTGATGGTATGAGAGTAACTTCCGCTATTAATTGCTGTGCTTTTACATCTCCTTCGTAGCTCTTTTCCACCTCCTGCATCCAGAGGGGTTGGACTGAAGAAATGGCATGACATTTTAGTTCACTCACAACGGATTCTGCTACTTCTGTTTTCCTTGGATTCTGTAGACGGGACAATGCATCCGCCTTCTTGTTCTCGACTCCCCTCTTGTATTGAATTTCGTAATCAAGGCCAAGCAGCTTGGTGAGCCATTTGTGTTGCATAGCAGTCGAAAGCTTTTGCTCTAGGAGGTACCTC